GTTGACCCTCCCGGGGGTGTGTCCCCTTAATAAGAATGCACTCTAAAGCAGCTGCCCTGCCACATCCTTCATTAAAAGAGGGCTAAATCACCTATCTTTTGTGCCTCTGACAAAAAAGCTTTCGTGCCAAGTCTCTGGCAACTTTAACTTCGTGCCCGATGTCCTCTCACCGCCTTCAAAGTGGCGCGAGAGGTGTCCTGCCTTTGCTCTTATGCACAAGGGGTACACGTGACAAGCAAACATTCTTCAGCTTTGTCACCACATTCTTCAGCTTTGTCACCTTTGCCAAAAGGCTTCACAAGTCTCTTTTTTTGTGGACCATCTACACAAGGCTTGTGTCCATAAGAGCGAGACAAAACACATGTGTCTACTCAGTTCACTCGAAACGAGCTGTCCATAGTCCAGACTGTGGGTTTCCATATTAACGAGGCAGGCTTGGACGGAGACAGATTGGTCCCCTTTTGCCCATGTAGTGGGCTGTCCATATTGACTAGGCATAACCAGCATACAACGAGAAGATTTAATATTTCACTAGCCCCCGCATTTCTTACAGGTACGTGGGTTGGACTGTATTGCTCTCATTGTCAACTTTTCCGAGGCGTACAAATATACACAAATCCTAATCATTTGCAAACGGTGTTTGCCATATCAGCAGACTACTAGAAGTTCTAGGAACATTAGAAAATTATAAACGTCCTCAGAATTCCTCTATTTGTCGCATCAGGTTTCATTGCTTCGCACCGGCACATGTGTAAATGCTTCACTGCTTTGTACTGGTGTGCTCGAAAAAACTGCCAATGTGTTAGAGCATCTTGATTGGCTTGACGGGCTCAAAAATTTGACTCGCTATTGTAGGTCAACCTTTTTTAGCTAGGATTAAAGTTCGACCCCTAATTTTAAAGGACAACAGCGCGAAAAATAAAATTCTAAGCTATACAGTCACCGACCGATTCGCAGGGACCGGAAAAACGTCCGAATAATTGAGCAGTCCGAAAAATCAGCATATTAAAATTCTTGCCTTTATTACTTCCAAGTGGACTTAAAAAAGCCGTAAATAGTGCCTTGTTACGCCTCCGTTTCCGTTCGGCAACTTTCTGTTAGCTTCAGGATCGCTGCCTTCCTTTCTAGCGTTATCGTCGAGTACTTTCTGCACTTCTTAAAGGAATACTGAACCGAAATTTGGATTTCGCAAAATAAGGCTGCAGAAGTGTTGAACCGGACGCTATAAACTGCAAAACATCACTCGTACATCGATATCTCAAACGGATGGCCGTACTTTTGGAAAAGAAGGGCTTGATCGAGCGAGTTCTTTGACGTAACTGTCCTCCGGGAGAATTTGAGAATGAGGAGAAGCGGCCTCGCTTCTCTCCTCCTCACTTCGGTTCACCAGCTTGATGGGACGTAGCGAGGACGAGAGAGAATGGGAATCGTGACGTGCTTTGTCTCGTCGGCCTCGTCGGCCGGGTTCAATCACGCACTTCTTTCCCGAAAAATACGGCGATCCGTTAGATATATCGCCGTATGAGTGATATTTTTTGGTTTTGCAGCTTCCTGCCTATCCGCCCGGCCTTGTTTAGTGAGCTCGAAATTTCGGTTCAGTATCCCTTTAACCACACATCGCGGCGGAAAAACAAATGACGTCCAAGCCAGCGTTGTCCGAACCGGTTCGAACGAGATAAGCGATTTAAAACCACGAGCGCAAAATGTCGACTGGCGATGCGAAGGAACGGGAAAACAAAGCAAAATGATAATAATAATGATGATGATGACGTGCAGCTAAATGGAAAAAAAGGGCTAGCATAGCGTCACCTAGCGGTAGGACTCGGGAGTGTTCAAGTAGCACTGCGAAACCAAACCAATCCTTTGCAGCCAACATAGAATTCAAAATGGCCGCTTCTCAATGGTGTTTTCCACTGATCGCTCGCGACGATTTTGTCCGAATAATCAAACGTTCGGACTTCAAGCTGTCCGAAACATTGGTCGTGAATATATACACTATTTCTATGGGGTAAGTCACGGTTCCGCCTTTAGGTCCGAAATATCGAACAAGACCGAATTGTCGGGGCCCGAAAAAACGGTCGGCGACCGTATTCAACTGAATAAGCTAGTCCCTACTTTGCTTGCCATGTTACATTAGGTTTAAACCAACCTGCTTGTGCACTACAACTTTTTCTTAGTACAAGAAAATGAAATGTCTCGCGCAAAAGAAAAAAAGGCATATTTTGCAGAAAAACATTGCGGCCACGATTTACTTAAAGGGACCATGAAACAATTTTGAAATCGAATTTCATCCACCGATCGTCGTAAAAGGAGTGGAAAAAAACACAAAAACACAAAAATAGAGAGCCAAAAAAAATTATTCGCTATAGAACTTTTAAAAGAAAACTGGACTCTTTTGTGCCTTCTTTCCTTCGAAAGCTCTCCCTTTTCACTGCGATGCATCCGCGGAACTGCAGCACGTCAGCCGAATCCACGTCGCCTATTGGGTAAGAGTCTACCTCAGCAGCACCACGATCATAAACAATAAATAGCCGGCGAATGTTTTCTAAAAGTTTTGTTAAATAATATTCAGATCCACATTTTGCAGCATAATTAGAGATGTGACGAAAATTGCCAAATTTGATAATGCTGAGAGTCAAGCGCCATCTATCGTGTGGTAAACGAAGCAAGAGAAAGACCCTACTGGACCCTACTGTGTCGCTCAGTTGGCTGTTACTTGTCGTGACGACCAGCGAACATTTATTTTTCAACGTGTTCTTCTCGCGCGTCCAGACTTCAAGCACCAAGAAAAAAGTAAAAAGCACTTGAAACAGACCACGACGGACAAGAACGCTGGATCCACAAACACCCGAGAAAAGCTACAACGGCCACGAATCCACCGACCCCAAGCGAGCTCGGCAGAAAAACAGGCCTAGCAGGCACTCCGACTCGGCGCAGCGTTACTTCAGCGGTACTTGACCAAGACCGTCTGCCCATGACCGGCTGGCGTGCTGAATGGAATGTGCCCGCGCGACCCTTGTGGACCCTTCCCGTATTATAGTTTGATCGCTGACCTCATTTTAGATTAAGAGGTGAGGTCAATCTCTTCCCCTTGTTATCTCCTTGTTTTCCGAGGCAGTGGTGACGAACACAGTCGTCGAAAAGGGATTCTCGTCGATTATATCTTCTTGTTTTGTGTGATATAGAGCTCAAATAAACGCCATATGGATTACCTTCGTAACACGGTATGTACACTTTGTTATTAGTATGCCATTTTCATTCTGACAGACTGCACGTCACTGTCGAGCTATAACAGTTCGTGGGAGGTATACGTGCAATGCCGGTCCAACCTTTCTTTGCCGAGTGTCACGTCAGTATCGAGTTGCAATCGTAAAAGATTGGTCCCGAAGCGCTTAGCAACAGCGCGAATACAGCACTTCTGTCAAATGCACACGTCCGCTCCGAGTGTGAACAGATTTACGTGGCTCTCGCTGACACTGTTGTAGTTCAAACGTATCTTTTTTAACGTCGGCTCGCTCCTGCATCTCCGAGGCCGTGAAAAACGCCGCGGCAATTTGTTTCCATCTACGTCGCTTTGCAAACGACTGACACGGGCCGCCTTTTACTAACAATGACAGTTGGGTTGACTTCTGTGGAGTCTTCACTGGAAGACTTGCCGCACTTGCCAACAGGCAAACCGGCGAATGGGACTAGTCCCACACTGTCGCTGTAGCGCAACATATCTCGTTGAATTTCGCTCAGCTGCGGTGCGTCCGCGGTGATGAGAGGCGCCGATTCCGAAAATACGTCGGTGACATCAGCCACATCAGCGCCATCAGCGCAGTAAAACCTACCGGCGCACCCTCAACCCGCTGCCGCTAACACTCCCATTCTCCTACTGCCTAGAGAACTTCCGGTTCCTGTCCCAGGGTACATCACGACCGTCAAAATTACGGTGCAACTTGTTTTGCGGTCAGTTGGAGAGAAAGAAAAAGTCGATATTTCATGAATTTTTTGTGTAGAAGTTAATAAACCGAGACGAAAACGGATGCCTGTTCCGCATTCAGTGAATGTTGAAGGTTTAATGTAAAAGTTATGTGGCAAAAGTAAAAACGTCATTTCATGGTGCCTTTAAAGGGAAACTGAAGCGGTTTTGTATTTGAGTAAAAGACTTCAATGGCCTTCATTTGACCTCCAGGATCAGGAATAGCGAGATTATTTTTCAATTTGGTGCACGGAGGCTTCAGAAGTTAATTTTTAAAGCACCGCCGAAGCCCCTCCTTCCCGGGGCATGACGTCACACTAGGAGTTTTCGGAATCTCTGCTCTCGCGCATCTTCAGCGCCTGTCAAAGCTGTGCACGCGCACTCTTGCTATTTTCGAAAACGTTAAAAAGGGACGTCAGGACTGCCGTAAGTGCGGAAAAATACACCTGGCAAGTTGTCATTGCACGCGCTGCCCACACGAGCGGCACGCGCTTGGCGGCCCAAAGATCCTAGTATGACGTCACGACTTGATCGGAGGTTTTTCGCATTTTCTCGCTTTTAGTTGCTTGCATCTTCAGGGAAAACGAATGTGATATTCAGATTCACGGGATAAAAATACGCCAGAATTATGCTCTAACTCGTTTTTTTCAAGAAGTGTTTCAGCTTCCCTTTAAGTATTTATGCCCCATTCACATTGAATCAAAAATATTATAAATTGATTTGCAGTGCAATTCTAACATTTAATATTTCTTATTAATGTTCACATTAAAAAATTCCATATTGGCACACCACTACAAATTGCTAAAATGCTCACAATTCCTTCTGTAACAAGCACTTCTTACGGCAGGTCCCAACCATTCATTTTATTTTACCTCAAAGGCATCTAGCAATGCTTTATATGAGGGTGAAAGCAAGAAGGTTGGAGAGGTTGTGATACCATATATACATTCATCTAAACAAAATGGTAACTAGCGATAGATGTTGTCAGATCACAATCGTCCGAGAGCCAGCCCAGTGCCGCCGAAGACAGACTTACTCGAGAAAGTTCTGCAGGGCCCCCTCTGGGTTGCAGGATATGTACACGAGCCTCTTGATGCTGGCCGTGGCTCTGAGTGCCCGCAGCACCTTGTTGTCTGTGGGACAACGTCAAGCAACCGTCAAGAGGGTCTCCACAGCTCGCTCACCACATCGCATAGCAAGATACCGCGTTTCACTCAAATTCTGAACGTGCAATCAGGAATCTAAGTCAAGGGAGACTAAACTAACTGAATTGCCCTTTGTTGCAAGTGGTAAGAGTAAACATTTTGGTAAAATATGAGAAGTTTTAAGGGGAATGTATGCACTAGGATCTCGCTTGGGCAGTGATGCTCTTTTACGTCTGTTCTGAGACTACTAAGAGTCTATAAAAATATATTTGTAATAGTAGCATGGAAAATAGGCTTGGTCGTTATTTAGAAAAGGGATTTATTGCATGCAGTTCTTAATTTGAAAACTGTTAGACTCGCCCCACCTTCATGAACCCCAAGAAGGCCTTCAGGGGCCCCAAAGGGTCTGCGGTCCCCCGTAGGAGAATCGCTGTGCTATAGCATTACTCTCAGAAAACACCCCATGCAAATGTTTCTTAGGATACTTCAATACGTTATAACTTATTAGCTGACAGGCCATATCCTATATGACACACTCTAATGTAGGTATTTAAGGAGAGCATGAAAGATACATTTTTGTCGCCACTCAGCTCTGGCCCTAGTTGAGCGCATGTGCCATTGCTGAGCCGGCACAATGTCAAAATCAAAACCACACCCAGTATGCTGGGCACAAAATCTGCCCCTTCCAAAGTGCCATTATGGCACTTTGGGAGAGCCCCAGGGCCCGATTTTGGTCACTGCAAGAGCGAGCGAAAGCCCTAATCTGGCTCAGCGAGCTAAAGTGACGCTGGTACACTAATGCGGACAAAGGGTGAGGATTGTCTGCTATGAAGCATCGTATCACAGACGAGAATAAACAACGTCGTCGACTGCTAACAGAACCAGAAGAATTGCAAGTTCCTTGCCGTGTGCAGAGGAACTGAGGCAACAGTCGAGGCACATTTTGCTGCACACACGGTCCTTCTCCACACCATTCGAAGTTGGCAAAGGTCTAAGGATTATTGTACGTTTTCATGTAACATCACACTTTCCCCGCTAAACTCGGTGGGAAAGTTGTGTCACGTCACGGTGGGAAAGTGTCTTGTCACACAGTCATGTAACATCATGCAACGTCAGAGTCACATGATATCACAATTTCTCCGCTAAACTTAGTAAAGCAATGCCGCATGTGAAGTCCGTGTTGGGCGACATTATGTCACGTGACACTGCTAAGTCACACGGTCGTGGACCGTCATGTGACGCCATAGTGTACCTGTGACACCACAATTTTGCTGCTAAATTTAGCGGAGAAACACTTTAAAGGGGCACTGAAGTCTATTTTCGAAAAGGTTGTTTTTGAACTTTACATTGTTTAAAATGTGTTAGTTCTCACATTTACCAAGTCCTATATTACAAAACCGCCTATTCATCTCGGGGCAAGAAAAAAACATCTCAACCTTTTTTTCTTGCGGACAACACTGTGTGGACCAATGAACGCCCTACAATACGCGTGGATTCCGAATGATTTTATTATAATTCGTTTTGAAGAGAGTTTGATAGGTACACATTCAGATAAGACTCCTCTTTTTCTCCGCGGGCGAAGCCATCACTTGCAACTCGCCGACAAGTGCCCTTTGTCGACCACTTCACTTGGAAGAAAGTTCTTCCCAAAAAGGGCGTGTCGCGATCTTTAAACACACTTTTAACGAGGAAATTAGCTAAGCACGATTGTGATTTTGGGCCTGTTGGGCTGCTTAGAGCGCCTAGATTGAGTTCTCACCACAAAAGGACGATCTCACAATCGACTTCAGTGCCCCTTTAAGTGGAGGCACAAGATTTCTGCAATTTTTTCACTAAATTTATAAGGGAAATTGCGACACATGACAATGTGGCGTCACGCAAAGCACTTCTCCGCTAAATTTAACGAGAAAATAGACTTCATACAATGTCACGTAATGCGACGTCGCCCGACACCTGACATTTTAGACAATTTAGAGAGGAAATTTCCTTGCCAGAGCGAGAATTTTGCCATCAAATTTAGCGGGCAAACGCCAAAGGGTACATAATGTCGTACGACGTCGCAATGTTGCCGATAAATTTAGAGGGGAAATTTCTCGGCCAAACTCTATGGAGAATGCTCCGCGCGACGTCGCAGTGCCACATGACCCCGTTGTTCACTGCTAAATTTAACGAGTTTGCACCGCACCGCCGCAAAACCTTACCACTAACGTCCGTCGCCGTAAAAGAGGAATCGTCCGTTAAAAACCGGACGCCATGGCAAAGTGATATAGGACGCAATCGGCCTTGCACCGTTTTCGTGCCGTACAAAAGCTGACAGGGAGCAACGGATAAAGGAGCCCTCGAGAGAGGTGCGCCAGAGGTTGAGAAGCCCCCACCGAGGTGGCGCCCGGTCTGTCGAGGACGCCGGCCCCTTGTAGGCGGCCGACAAAGCGGGAGGGAGGGACTCACGCAGCCCCTGCCTGGGCGGGTCCACGACGGCCACCATGTCCTCGCTGTCCCTCAGGGTGTGCATCACGTCATGCATGGTGTCCTCTGCCCGGCCCAGCACAAAGCTCGCATTGCCGATGCCTGCGCCGGAGGGCTCTTGTTAACAGGCGGGCGTGCGCAAAATGATTGCAGTAACAATTCATAAGTATTTACATTTCTACCAATGCAAAACAGATCTTTCAACGAAACAACAGTGGGGGCGCAGGTGAGCTGGTGTAACATTACCATTTCTTTAAATTACCCGAGACTGGGGCGAAAAAACTATGAAGTATCAAAACGTGGAAGAGAAAGGCAAAGTGAATAGGAAGACATTGTCTCAATGTTGTCTTCCTATGACAAACAAAGTTACGCATATCATTAGAACGCTGATATCCACTTGAATGATAGTAACGAAGTGTAAAAGCTATTCCTGGAATTTACTCTTGTTATACGACCAAATAAAAGGCAGCAGGCCCAGTCAGCTGCCACGATCATGAGCAGAACCACAGCAGAACCTGGTGCCGCTCAGTTCATAGATGCAACCATGTACCATTCATGGTCACGTATGTCTCGTGTGAGAGGAATTGGTGAGGAGGATGAGAAAGAGGAGAGCGGCATGGAGAGATGGCTTGGGAAAGCTAAAAGGCTGACGTCGTACTCGCTCCTCCTCTTCTAATCTCCTTGGTTCCACCCGTTTGCTGGTTCCTTTTTGTCACGCGATTCTTGGCTCCACGCATGAAGGAAGCTGCAGGAACTGCAAAACTTGTCTAGCATGCCGCAGTCGTTCCTGCACATCCATACAGCCTTTCGTCCAGCAAGACCAAGACCCAACGAGGTTGGGCAAGACCTTTTTTGCATCTGTGGTGTATTGAAGTGTTGTGGGCAAGTGCGCGAGGACGAGGACATGGGCAAACAGCCCTTTGCAAACTCAGGACTCTGTCGCTTCTAATCCTAGCCTCCACGAGCAGGACCATAGTTGTGTTTTGCCTTGGAATAGTAGAGGTAGTGGCACCTCACAATAAGCCTCTCACGGTGTTTTGTCTCGCTAGGTACTAACAGCAGCACACGATACTTTTTCTTCGTAAGAGTGTCACAGCCGTAGTGACAAACATCGCTTTAGCTTCTGGACGACGGTGCTCCTTTGCGCTATTAGTGTTTCGCGGCAATGCGCGGTTGCAAAGTGGTCTAGTCGACCCTCGCTGTTGTTCGCTCGTCTCCTCCTTAATGTGAATGTGCTTGGGAAGATCGGCGGACGTGCCGTCGCGTGATCAATCCGTCCGCGGATTGGTGTATTGTGCGAATCGGCCTGCGCCGTCGGCGCTATGTTCCCGGCTTTTTGGACGCATATGATACCCAGAAAAGCAAATGCACTGACCAGGAAATTAATACGTGTGTTCCTATGGGGCAAAAGCCGGGAAAATGTAAATACCAAGAATGTATCAACGAGGCTCCACTGCACGAAGTCCAGTAGTCCCTCGTTATAACAAAGTCCACGGGACGGCAAAAAGATTCGATACTACACCTAAGTGGTAATTCAACGAAAGCGAGGGAACCAAAAAAACAGTGACAGCAGCCTTGAAAGTGGATGGGAACACAGTGAAACACTCAAAACATAGATTTAATCAAACAAGCCTCAGTGACGAACAACTCGTGGCACCTTTATTAAGGAGTAAAAAAAATAAATAATTAAGTGGCGTTTACTGATAATATTTTACGGGCATCACTCCTCGGGTTCCTTCAGGCATTGCAAGAGCCCCGTCGCCGCCACTGTACTCCACTTTGTTCCGAAGCAGCCGTAGGATGCTTTGCGTCTCTGCAGTCGATATTTCTTGAAGTGACTCTCTGATGTCTCTTTCGTGTTTACCCTGGCTGCACGCAAGGTCTATGATCGCAGCATCATTGGCAGGAGCAACAAAGGGAACATCAGCAGCAACAAGCGTGAACGAATCTAAGTTATCTTCGGTGGCTTCGCCAACGTATTTGCACACACTCCTGCAGAGATTGTTGCAGCTATGGAAATCATCCGCTGGCTCGGCAAGCACGCGCATGCGAGAAAATCCGACGTGCGCAAAGCACTTGGTGGCGATCTTCGAATCGCGGGCATACTTTCTCTTGAGCGAGAAACTCTTTTCAAACCCGACCAGTCTGCCTCACTTTTTCGGCAAGATGGTCGAGAGTGTCAAACAGTCGACGGCGGAATGTTGACTTCCTTGGCGATTTCAAACTCTGGCCGGCCCCTTTTTTTCACATCCACAGATCAAAGGGACTTCTGGTAAACACTGCCATACGATGCCTGTACATGCCGCAAGCTGGCAAGCTTGCACAGGAACGCGCATCTCGCGCGTCTGGTCTCCCAAGGGATGATCTAATTCGGGCTCTTTCGCTTCCTTGACCCAATTTTATTGGGAGTCGGGCTGTGGGCACTCTGTGTAGCGTCGGAACGCTGACGCACTTCCAGCGCTCTCCTTGGTTGCGTCAACATTGGAAGCGGCGCATCACCCTCTGTCACCCGTTTGCTCCATTTCCTGTTTGCCTTTTGCAGTTTGCCATTTGCCCGTTTGCCACGGTGGGGGAGGGGGAGGAGACGAAAGGGACCCCTGTGTGCCTCTGTGTAGGCTTGGACGGTTTCGGCACCTCGGCCTTCGTAACCAGCGTGGTCGGCCGTCGATATGCTAAAAATAATCCAGTTTGAAATGCGTACATTTCGTTCGGGACCACGTTAAACTTTGATTAAAGGACACATGCAAAGGAAAAAAACATTTTTTTTTAGACAGCTTAGATGGAAAAAGGATGTCATAAAACAATTTTACAACGAAGAAAACAATTTTTTAGAGCTATATTTACGACGCTATACGAATTTGTAGTTGGCGCTCGCGGGAGCCGCCGCGCTGCGTCGCCGCCGCACGCTGAGCATTGTACGAACGCCGTTTCAACGCGTTTCTCCGCGCCGCCGCCGCCGCACAAGTTTGTCTGCTTCGGGGCGCCGCCGCCGCCGTCTGACCGGCGCACAGGTCTATCACGTCTGCTTGCGCTTTTTCAGGAGTTTCCTTTGGGCTCTAAAAGTTACTTATTCATCTTAGTTTTTTGTTATACATCAAACAAAGATGAATAAGTTACTTTTAGAGGCCATAGGAAGCTTCCGAAAGAGCGCAAGCACCACGTGACATATATGGGCCCGTCACGTGATAAACAAAGGCCACTTTTCAGCGGCGCCCGCCGGTGCCAACTACAAATTCGTATGGCGCCGTCAATATAGCTCTAAAATGTTTTTTTCTTGATTGTAAAATCGTTTTATGATATCCTTTTTCCATCTAAGCTGTTTAAAAAAAATGTTTTTTTCCTTTGCATGTGTCCTTTAAGGGGATGACTCAAATAAAGCGACTTGGTTATAACGAGGTACTACTGTATCCGATTTTGAGCGAAACAATACATTAGGGTTAGGACGAGAGCTGCAGTGACAGCGGCAGAATCCAAGCTACTCTTCTGACTTCTTTGCAGTACTTCTGCACGTTAATGGACGTGCCTTTGAGACAAGAAACAGAGTGCTCCCCCGGCCAGCCCGAGGAAAAGGTAAAGAAGGCAAAGGACCGAGCCACTCTTGCCTTGCGAAGTGGCCGCAGCCGGTCTTCAACTCCTTGGCCATACAGTCGCGTCTTGCTAGTATGGGCCCAGTGAATACCGCCTACATGTTGACACGCCGTTGAGGAAGAAGAGAGCAGTGCCCGCACAACCTAGTTTCGGGCCACAAGTGGCACCAGTGCCGACATCAACGACGTGCATCACTCTGGACGTCAAATAAACTCTGTTTTGTGGCGATGCTCAAAGCTTACAATAGCTTCGTTCAATTTACTTGCACCTCCTGCACCGTTGCAGAGAAGTGTATGGTGGTGTACTTCCGGTATGTATATTGAGCAGGGGCGGCTGCAGGAATTTCTTGAGGGGGGTCAGGTGTTGGTCATCGTACCATATGTTTAGGAACCCCCTCCCCCTCTCCCTTGTTTTACGCCCTAAATTTTACACATGTGAAAATCAAGAGGGGAGTCAGGACTTCCGGACCGCCCCTCTACATCCGCCCCTGATATTGAGATACGACCGGAAGTACTCAGCCCAACACTTTCCTTTACCAATGCAGGAGGTGCAGGGAAATCGAAGGCAGCTAATTTGTGGTTTTTCACCTTGATCCGTAACCAAAAACAACTCGCATCAAAGACGACTCTTCCGGTGAAGGGACACATCCACACTAACGAGACTCAACTGTATCACAGTCCTTCAATGAAGATATCTGTTTTTCTCTTTTGGTTTTAATAATTTCCGTTTCTTTAAGAATGAATTTTTCTGGTCTCGTTTAACCTTCGCGTTCAGTCTTTTTCAACATTTTCGAGCGACTTCCGAGACTGTACTCAAGTTCGAAGAAAGAGTCCCACCAAAAATACCGGAAGTCGCTTGTCGGCAAACTGCCTCGTACGAGAAAGAAAGTGTCAGCAAACTGTCTCGTACGAATGTGGCTACCAAAATAAAGCTCCAAACAAACCCGTCTAAATTAAAAAAAAATCTATTAAACTTTGAGTGAGTTACGCGAAGTCATCTGGAACTGAAACAAAACCCGATGGTGCCAAAAGTGGCGCGGCGGTGCGTCCCACGCCGGCACGAACTGGCTGCACCTACGTCAGATGGCCGTTAAAATACCATGCGTCACAAATACCGCCCCGTCCCGCATTGCCGTAACAAGCTCGAATATGCCGCGCGGCAAAGAAAGAGAAAACGAAGGGCAAAACGTGGGGCCGTCGGTTGAGCCTCACCGTTGGCCTCTGCATTCCGCTTGGCGTTCTCCACGGCCCGCTTGCACACCTCCACTCCGTAGACCCTGGCCACTTTCTGCAGGGGGATGGACAAAACCGGTCGTCCGATTAACAGTGCAACGCTGCCTCTGTTATCGTTCCCCTGAGCATCGCCACTCTGATGGGTGAAAAAGCATGCATGCTACTACGGATAACATTTCAAGGCATGTTGCGCCAGTCCCTGTTATCTGATGCGTGTCAGATGGAAGCGAGCGCAAAAAATGTGTCTGCAAACACGAAAGAAACGCACGCGCAAAGCGTGACTCTTGAGAGTGGCATTGCGTCATCTGGAGGTGCAGACAGTCATTTTGACTGGTGCTCCCATGCTCCGAAAACTTCTGCCGCCGACTATACATTCGTTCAATTCAGTGAATGGCAAATGGCTGAAACTATTACATGTAAAGTCAAATTTCATCATTGCTTACATCACATAAGAAATCGTTCGGACTTGCAACAAGTTTCAAAATCCCCTTCCGATTTCCTATAGTCTGGATGTAAAAATATTTCGGTAGTACAAATGTCAAGATTCCGAATATTTCAGATCATGCCGTATTTCCTCATGTATGAGAAGCAGTTATTTTCAAAACTTTTTCTTGGTCTGTTTTATACGACGGTGCCACATGCATGTGGTTATTTCCATAAGTACAAACCTCAAGTGCAACGACGTAGAACAGCCCAAAGTGAGGTGGTTCGTGGCTGCAGCAAGCCCTCCACTCCGACCCCGTCCGCCAAGAGCGACAGAAGACACGAAAGATAATGGAACAGATTGGCAGTCGCCAGCAAAGGCCACTTGGCTTGGCTTGTTTAGGCTCAACTGGCTCTACGCACCATCTTTCAGAGCACTTCGTAACTACGTAGCTATAGGCCTTTACCAGGAGGTGCTGCCATCTTCTACTTCTTTTGGCATCCGCCTTTTGTCTATCTTATTGCCGCATGTCCACATTTGTCTTTGCGTTCCCACGTTGCATAGGCGTTGAGCTAACACGCCAACACCAAAAGCGCAAGAAAGCTATACAGTGTAGACCGCATATAACGTATGTCGCGGGAGTCGCAAAAATCCGCACTATAAGCGGTACCGCGTTATAACCAAAACATCAATTTTTCAGGCCAAAATACATGCCATGAGACTACTTACCTTTGTAAAAGAATTTAATTTATGTTAGGGGAAAAATCAAGCTTAGTTTGAGGAAAGTCTTTATTTCACCAGACTAGAACAGTTCTGTCTCAAGTGTGTCACACATTTTGAAAGAAATGAGCGACTTTTGCCTGGCGCAGCCTTTTAACAGCGTCGCGGGTTGCGGACGGACGTTGCGAGCGTTCAGGATTGCTAACCCTAATCACTTTTCTCCGGCAATGAAAACGCGTGAAAATTCGCATCCTTTATACGGTACGCGCCAGTAATACCTTCAACTTGAGCGCAGGCATGAAATGCTCCAAATAAGAAATCCGGGCGATGTTCGAAAACACAGAAAGCACCACTCTAGTCGAAGTAAACAAACATGACGACACGGGCGTTTCTGCCGTCTTGAGAGTGCCGCCACGACATCGCCGCACGAGTAGGTGGATCTTCCCTTCTAGTACGTGCTGGGTTATCATAACGACACACAACGAAAATTCAGTCAAGGGTAGCGCTTTTACGCGGAACGATGAGCCTCCATCACGTAATCTACGTCGACGATCAAAACCAACGCCATGTTTGCGGATAGACGCAGCCGGCCCGCGACCGGAGAGGAGGAGAAGCGTTGTAATAGAGGTTGGGGGGGAAAGGAGAGAGCCAATAGTGTGTACGCACTGCCGGCATGCAACGCGCGCAAACACTTCTCCTCGACCTGCGATTGGTCTGTCGTTGCGGCTGTTTCCAACCATCGCAGCGGAGGGACGCGCGCACGAGAACGACACGTGCATGCGTCCCTCCGTCGCTATGGCAACTGCAGCCTCTCTCTTCGCATCTCCCGGTTTCTTCGAGCAACCTCCTTGCCCCGCGAGTGCCGCTCGCGGCTCGCGCCGTTATCTAGCGCCGCAAAGGGAAGCGTGCTCGCTGCGCCGGTCAGTCGGCACGGCCGCCGGGCTCTTCCAGAAACCGCACTATAACCGGTATTTCCCTTCGCGCGCCTGCATTTTAAGCGGTATGTAAATACATGGAGTTCTATGGGGGGCGAACCGGTGGTTTAAAAAAGCCGCGTTATACCCGGTCCTGCACTATAAGCGGTTACGTTGTAAGTGGTCTATACTGTACTGTGAAATTAAAGTTGTATGTTGTCGTGCATGCGATTGAAAATGCCAACCATGCTGGAGGAAGGCATTTCAACATCAAGAACATTTTTCCGAACAATTCCGCCGCATACGATGACGAGCCATACAAATGGTGCGACGCCACCGTTTTCGAGGTCCACAATATCTCCATGTCGATCACCGACTCGTGAGTTTTGAAGAGGCCGCCCAAGTTTGACAACGTTGACGGCGTTAAGTCGATTGGGCGTTCACAAGTGCTAGTTGCTGTCGGGTAGCCCCGCATGCCGTTATCCACTGAAGTCACTCTCATTCTCTCGCTGTGTTCCATGCTCTTTTTATGGATTTGGAGGGCTGACTCCTCCACGGACGATACGGCGAATGTTTTACCACGTGGCCTGCACTTTGCCCGGAGTTCGATGTATCCGGTAAAATGCACTCCTTATAAGCATCACTGCTTAGCCAAGATTGTTGGAAATTGCACTTTCCCGCACAGATATCGGCAACTTTTAACAACCGGTTCGTCCAGATTAAATCGTATCATGAATTAAAACAAATCAAAGTTAACCACAATGCTTTTAAGTACTGTAAACCACTCATTTTTTGCGGGCTTAATATTTTGCGATTTAGGTCAAAGCTGAAGATCTGGAATGATTTGCAAGCTTTTGCAATGTAGTGGGATTTTAATATAGAATCCAATGTCTTTACATTTTACCGTAATTGTTCGCGGGACCCATTTTTCGCGAATTGTAGATGATTCACAATATTTGTGAAGATTAGGTCCTTGCGAAAATTAAGACGTTTACAGTAATCTTTTTTACCTCGGGAAATTAACGAATAGTACTTCGTCAAATAAAATTGTGACACTTCCGTCACTCCACGACTTTGTTGATGCCATTACTTCTGTCGCGAGATACCGTGGTGCTTGTGATTGTAATATGTAATGCTATACCACAAACTATGATTTTTTTTAATGAACCCATACCCACTATGGCTCGCATGTATGAGCCGTAATATCCTTTAAATGAAAAATTATAAAAAATAAACTAATTAACAGCATTTTAATGTTTTGTAATGTTAAATTCTATTTGAAACTGATAAAGAGCATTACTAATGCCCTTTAGAAGCCACCTTCACGGCCTATGCTAGGGAAAGCAAGGGTTCGGGCCACCGTGCCGTAGTCTCGAGCGCCAGAGCACGGAACGCCGGCCGTCCGGCGGTTCCAATCTGCAAGCTCTGTTTCGGCCTCGAGCAGGTGCCGAGATGTTGCACTCTGGGAATGCTCCGGGGACCCTCGGCCGTGAAGCAGAGCAGACCGAGGCATGATGTGCGGGAGCAGCAAGGTGGGGCCGGCAGCAACAATTGAAAAGCGCCGATGTTGGAGGAACCGAGAGCGATGAGAAGGGCCACGGAAGAGTGAAAAAAGAAAGCGGACGACGCTTTTAACACATTCGTGTAGCGCGACGCATCAAAACTGCTGGCGTGCCAATCGACTCGGCTTTTCTTGGAGCGACGCACGTCGCCGGTACCTCTTCGTGCAAGAAAGCTTGAAGGTGATAACTACCAAACTCGCGAGTGATATCTCGCCAGTCTTTGGGTTTGTCGAAGCCTCGCAGGCAGCTTCGGTACTCCGGCAGTGCCCGCGTCTGTCTCCACATTGTGCCGTTCTGAGGCAACCGAAACTTCCGGGAAGGTGCGACCTTTCCTCTACGGGCGCCGGCAGGGCGAGAACGGTGGGGAGGTCTGCTGGTCGTCCCTCTTGCGGCGCGAGCGGCGATGACGCTCAGGCTCGTGGTCGAAGCAAAGAAAGGTAAGGAGCGCGTGCCAGAAGCCGGATATTCTGAGAATTCCTTGTCCCGTCAAGACGTAAACCCTGGAGTCCTCACCGCAGCCATGCAGAGCCCGATGGTGCCCGTGCCACAGCAGACGTCCAGCAGGGTGGTGCGGGGCCCCAGGCCGGCCAGGTCCTCGGCCACCTCCAGGAGCACCTCTGCGGCCGGGGTATTCACCTGGAAGAAGGCGTCTGGCCCCACCCGGAAGGACAGGCCACGCACGCGCTCCTCCAGCTCCTGCGGCGGACAGATGCCCCGTCAGAGCACCGGGCAAAGGCTTCTGCACCATTCTGCTAATGCCACAGTGCAAGCGTGGCACCAGCAGGTCCACTAAGCAATACGCCACTACTGCTCTTTCATTCACGATTTTGTTCACTATGCCCCACAGCAGCTCTCGGCCTCAGTAGCGTGCACATTTTACCGAGATGAAAGGAAATAAAATAAACAAACAAATGAGTGCACAAAAGAGAAAATACAAAAATAAAAACAAACTGAAGTACGAAGACAGACATTGGGTGTATCGCCAAGGTGTCGACGAGCTTTTTTTAAATGTTCTGAAGGAAAACAAACTTTAAATCGCTCTTCTCCTAGATACAGAGAAGCTGTAAGCGTGTCGTCGGAGACGTGGGCTGTGTTCCAAAATTTACTCTATCTTACTCCAGGGTAAGGGTTTTGAGCCTTGGCATTCTAAAACCTACCCACGTGTAGCATCGTTAAATCTGTGCTGTCACGTGACACGACCCACCGGAGTAACTCGGATCCATTGGGGTAAGATTTGGAACACAGCCACAATGTTAACACTTTGCCAGCGACAAAAGGAGGCCCGATACGCTTCTGTAAAACGCAAAGTAAAATGTCACAACAAAACAAACAAAAGTGCATCAGTCGTGGCATTCGTTACTCTTTGGAAAAACACACTATGCAATGCACAGCTGAAAAAAATTTCAAGAAGTCACGCAAAGAATGCGAGCAACGCATGCACTAAGCGCTCCTGCAACTAGTTTCCTCAACCGTCCATTAGCACACTAGGGCCAATGCTGTGAGTCATCTGCGGCAATCGAGCCTAGACAGCACCTCAGACAGACCTCACAGTTCAGCAGAGTAATACAGAGGGCACAAGGGGCAGCCCACTCTCGATGCAGGAGAAACTCATGTAGCCAACAGCCATTATTCGAGATGAAACGGAGTGCTGGCATGTCATGCCTCTTAATGCTAAGCGTGGTTAAGAATAACGGCCATTTGGGTAGCATTTGTCCAGGGTTCACACTGTCCGATTTCGGCTGGAAAATCGGAAGAAACCCAACTCCCGAATCACTGAAGTCGTGAAATGACAAATAACCTAACGCTTTTCTGGGCCTCAGACACGGTCCCCTTCCCCTGAAGAAGCAGGGCTCAAGTCAGCATTTTACAATATAAACTCGCTCAAACTCACAACCAGGTCAAAACCGAACATTTGCTTTCTCTCAATCTCACGACTAGAAACAATCAAGTCATTCACTCCCAAGACCCCGCTCACCTTCAATTCCTCACTAGCACTTATACATAAATTGGTGTACCCACCTGAGCTCATGAACTCAAGCCCAGAAACTCACCCAACCTCATGAGTTCAATCAAACCCAGGAACTCACTACAACTCATGAACTCCAATTCACGAGTAAGAACTCACAAACTCGAACTCACAAGCTCACCAACTCGATCTGAGGAATTCAAACCCGCAAACTTCTTGGTCTGAGGGCCCCTCACCGTAGTGCCAAAGAGGTGCTCAAACTCGGCTTGCTCCCCTTCCGGCCGCTTCTTGTCAAAGCGCTGCAGGTACAAGGAGGTCACTCCGCACACCTGGCCGGGGCCCGACTCAAAGAACTCCCTCAGCTTCCGCTTCTCCTCCGTGATCTCCTCCTGGAAGGACGTACCGTTCGGGTCTACCATGCAGAAGCCAAGGTGTTGCGGACATTCGGCCAACACACTTGTTCCACGAGAACTGAGAGGACTGATCTAAAACTGGAGCAAAATGTGCAAAGATTGCCGAGGTGCTCGTGTCAAATTTCGACGCCAGTTCAATGAGAGTGAACACACTTTAAAAATGCCTAAATGGCTACTTGCCACGGAGCACACCAAATAAAAAAAGCTTCAAGAAACGCTGTCTGCTTTCTGGCACTGATCCTCACACCTGACATGCTTACATGTTTGTTAAGTACAATTTATGGGAAAATATTTCCTCGAAACTTGTAAAAAAGAACTTGGCCGTTTCGATCTCCTAGAAAGCAAAAGTAACAATGTTTAGAAAGAGCTCGCGTCTCGAGAAAGCCTGTGACACCAGAAAACAAAAAGTTGCACCCGTGGTGTCACCTCGGTGAGGCCCTGGGGGTGGATCACCACGATGGCCATGACGTGTCCCTTGCAGCTGGTGCGCACCGTCAGCTGGCGCCAGTAGCCCCCGTGGCTCTCAGGGTCAAAGGGCTCCTTCCCAGACTGACGCACATACTCCTGAAAGCACTGCAGATATGCACAGTAAGTCACCACACCGGCCTCGAGGTAATTGGAGCAGTCTCAAGAACACGCTCCAGTGATATCACAATCTTGGGGGCCCATAACCACGAGGTCCCTTAGACAATTTTTTCTTAAACTTTGGCACCCAACTTATTGTAAGGACAATTTGTACTAAATAAACAACTCTGAGATTGGCCGTCAATCCTCAGTCTTCAGAAGTACTTCAAGTACCATGCACATCCAGTGGTGCTTAGAGGACATCTTCAATGCCTGTACGTTCTCAGGACTGCAAGTAGGTGCAGACGCAAGAAGCATTTTGAAACATGTGGAATTTTTTTGCGAATGAGACTGGGACGTAGCAATGTAGCTAATGTAGCTAAAGTCGTCGTCCACTCATGGCACCACCTGGTCTCGCCAATGTTTTGGACATGGGCGAGACATCCGTCAAAACTAAGTTAAAGACAGGGTGCAGGCGAACGCAATAAGGTACAAGGTACAACAGTTGAACCCAGGAATTTGGGGACATGTGGGACAATCACCAACACAGAACATCCTGCTTGTAATTCTCCCCTCTATCCGTGCTCCAAGGGTCGTTCCCAATTCTCACTGTACGCCAGGCATTGGCTAAGATTATCCGCGCACTTCGGTACAACGCAGATAAGATAAAAATAAGTCAACAAGCACACGGACCAGCTTTTTAATTTGATGACTAAACATTCTGAATTATACTTGTGGAATTTAGATTCAACACAATCCACCAAGAAAGAACCCTTTCCATCATAATCTAAACTCTGAGGCAAAGAGAAACAAATTAACGGACAAGACGACACAAACACGTTCGCTCCTGGCAATTACCCTTTCCAATTCTTTAGAAAGAAACAGAGACAAGAAAGGAAACACAGAGGGCACGGCGGGCATCGCTTTCGAGCACCAGTGATGCCCGCCCTGACGTCTCCGTCACCTCAGCTGCATCCGCCAATTCTGAGTCTAAAAGAGAAACTTACCGTAAAATACCGGACAAGCGCCCACTCAAATTTCAGAGATAATCACAAAATAAATGGGGGATGGGCACTTGCCCGGTCATCAGTTTTACATGTAAATGTAATGTGCATATTTTCTCAGATATTACAAATTTGGGGATGGGCGCTTAATGTGGAATGGGTGGATGCGCGGTGTTCTACGGTACATCTAAGAACCGACGTTTCATTATTGTGTCATGACATAATTGTGTAAGCAACTAGCTAGCAGATCACAGTGAGTCCATACATTTTTTTGTCACGTCTACGTTTCCAGGCACATGCAAAAAGATGCTTACAACAGCAGCAACACTAATCTCCAGGTGATTCTTCCAATTAACCTAATGCAGAAATTCAGTATAAAAATTGTGTTTGTTTAGACAAGAGAAAGTTAGTCAGCCCCAGGGGGACACTGCAGTCTCCACTGTAGATGAGAAACTGAGGCAGCGCAATACTACTGCTAGCCTGGGGTCTGATGGGAATGAGCGATACATGACTGCACTTCAGTACAATCCTCATCTAGATTGAAACAGGCAGGGGCAAAGATTAAAGACAGGATCCTTAGATTCTACAGCACCAGCTTTCACTCCACATCCTCGGAGTTGCTGATCCCCCCCATCCTATGCTCACACTTGCACAAATTGGAAGGCGACCCCTGCTTCAGAAAAACAACAAAGTCGGTGTGTTGAGACAATAACTACTAGGTACTTCCGAGCCAAGGTACAATGGTGTCTCGTTATTATGGCCACCTCTGTTCCCCCAAAAAGCGCCCACAATAATGAGACAAAGGTGCATGATTTATCCGGTTCATCCCCAAAAATGTTGTGTATATAGCGGGGTATACGTACAGTAATCCCTCGTTAGCTCGAACTCGGATACCTCGAAATATATGCCAAGTCCTAAGATTTCCTTGTCATGAAATGAACTCTCATGGGCACAATGCATTTTCTTATCGCTTACCTCGAAAAGCTTTGAGGATCGACCTCGAATATCTCGAAATCTTGACAACAAATACTACCAAAAAGATACAACAGGCAGAGGGCACAGCAAACAAGGAACTGGAGGCCTAAACACTGGTTGATGAAGAAACAGCGATCCAAAAACAAACACACAAGAAAAGGGGAAATAAAGAAAAAAATTGCATATCAGTGCGCCGATAACGCGCAAAAAATAAAAAATAACGTCCCGTGCCTTGAGCGCAGCAACACATGAAGCAGCGTGCGTAGGGTGACCACCTTTCGGCAGGCGAAATGCGGGACATTTTGAACGGGTGTGTGTGTATGTGGGGGGGGGGGGGGAGGGGGCGGGCGGGGCGGGGGAGGTAAAAGGAGGGCGGTATTTTCATAACTGAAGAAAAAAATATTAAAAAAAAGTCACCATCACGCGCACCCCGATACCCTGTGCTCTCCGAAAGCATATTACACACCTGAAAATTGTGTGGGGGCAATTAAGCTAAAGTAATTTTCATTCACAGTGATATATTTTTGTGTAATTGTGATGGTAAATATTTCATTATGGGTGTCTAAGTTGAAACCATTAAAATTGACTGCAGCAGACCAAAATGCATGAAAGGGAAATAAGAAATCGTAAATCTTCTTTGCCTTATTGTTTCCTGCCGATACTTACTCTTATACTAACATACTCTTACAAAAAATTATAACCTTATGTTGCTGTTTTTTCGACCCTTGTGAGACAAAAAAAGCTTTCCAAAACAACCCTTTCGCATGACACAGTATGATTTGCAAATAATTACAATAGTTTATTTTTCAACTTTTGGCAAGCAATTTTCGCTCGCAATATTTTGCCATCAAAGGGAGAGGCACAACGGCACATGTGCGTCTTTTTCCTGCAAGAACGGTCGCTTCCCACAGTGATTGTATAGAAAATGGCATACTATCGATATTCACATGATTATCAGCGACCTCCGCGCTACCCCGTGGCCTGTTCTTTGGAAGCGCCATAATTTGCGTAGTGAATGCTATGACAATGTCAAATGCGGGACATTTTAAAGATTTTGGTATTTCTTGCGGGACGCGGGACACGCGCTCTCAATGCGGGACAGTCCGCGAGTCGCGGGACGGGTGGTCACCCTAAGTGTGCGCCTCACGGACGTTTGTTTTCTTACTTTTTTTTCCCCCCGATATGGCTTGGCAATCGGTGCCACTGTTTCTCTCTCCCTCGTGCTTAACATTACCTCCCATCAATAGTGACAGATGGGCTAGTTGGTACAGAGTACCTTTTGATAATAAGCACTGCAAGACAGGGACAGAAAGTGAGAGACAAGAAAGTGGAAAAGGTGTCGCTAAACAAAATCAAGACAGCACCCAAGGAGCTTTGTGAAGGACTGGAGTTGAGCAGACTAGCGGAGAAGGTCCAAGCGTCCAAGAAGCTAAGCCCGGAAGTGCTTTTTTGCCAAGACTCATAAATAATTGCCAATTTAGGGTGATAGCATCTGAAATGGACCCCTGGCAGCGATAAATCGGCGAGTTCTAGGGCACACAGCTTGCAGGTATTGATTTGAAGGGTCCTTTTCTGATTCGGAATTCGGAGGCGGCTATTGAGCAATTGTCAGCAGAAGTTTGCTACTTGGAAGGGTTCTCAAACGACGTAGAAGACCTGTCTTATTCCATGCAGCATGTTAAATTGTTTCCTGCGGTTAGTGAGGGCATTGAAGGTAACAACGAGATCGTGTTGAGGAACCCTCGCTGACTGAGTGTAAAGTCGTTCAAAGAACTGCTCACATGTTACCTAGATTCCATCTTGGCGTCTTTGGAAAACGACCTATATGTACAAAAGCACGGGATCTGCATCGTCACGTCTTGCCCGTTGTTTACAATATTTTTTTGACAAGATTTGGCCGGGGAGTGCTCAACGATTTAGAAACAGTGGGGGGATGGTAAGATATTAGGGTACGTAGATGATTTTCCAGTGCTAGTACCACAGCACACTGTGTCGGATGAAAAAGTTATTCAAAGAGTGCTAGGAATTTTCTCATTGAATTCGCACGGCCTTACTCACGAAACAATAACGTCAGAAAAGCTGCAATTTCTGGACTTACGTCTAGATTTTCAAGAAAAGCATGTATGCTGAGAGTATAAACCACGCTCAAAGAAAGGGGTGCTGCCCTTCAATTCAGCCCACTCTAAGCTGGTAAGAGAGGCATCACGTCCGCCCTAATGAAGACATCCCTTGCCAAATCGTGTCAGCAAACCATGAACATAATAGTTTTTTCAACCAGGTCGGATGCCTAAGATCGTCGGGTTACCCTGACTGTTTTCTTCAGGAGGTGGCCGGAACACGTTTCAAAAATGAAAACTAAAAAGAATGATGAGGAAGCACCCAGGCCCAGGAGAAAAGTGAGACCCTTTGTCATCCCACACACAAGGTTTCACTCAACCTAAAAAGGTGGTGTCGCATTTTGATGTACCGGTAGTGTTTTCGGCCCCAGAAAAGCTGTCTAGTCGTTGCCGAAAAATCAACAACAAAAAAGATGGAGGTGACATGTGCAAAGACACGCTCAAAGCAGTTCGTAGATTGTGCCTCCGAGATTTTTATGGCTTGAGGAAAAGCGTATGTGGGTCAGATGGGCAGGTGCGTCAATGACAGGGCACAGGAGCACGCAGTACTAGTAAGGAATTCCCCCTCGGGCAACTTGGCTATTCATTGTGATCGATGCACTTGTGCCCCTGAACTAGAAAAAACAAAAATTCTGGAGAAGTCAAGAGATAGGATCTTCAGACAATTGTACGAGCCATTCAACATCAGAATGCAAGGGGATGACAGATGCACAAGTGCCCCCTCTGTTCCTTTAACAGATAAAGAATTTGAATTCCTGCTTGAAAAGCCCAATTGGGTGTATAAATAGCTTTGTGTTGCTTCAATAAACAGTCAGCTAAAAATAGCACTTTGTGTTATCTCTCACTTTCTGTCCCTGTCTTAGGGCACCATTGTCAATCAACCCTTCCTCTTTTTCTTTAATTCTTTTTTTCTAAGTATTTTCTTCAATTCTTTTTGTTTTGTTGTCTCATTTTGTGAATGTTGCTTAGTTGATAATTTTGTCGAGGTCGGTCGTTTTAATGCATTAGCATTAGTACCTACATCACAGGAAAATCTGATGGCGTACATCTGTGGACAAAACAGTGGAAATGGAAGGGCTCAAAAAAGAGGTGAGAGGGAGGCGACATCATGGGACGGAAGCCAATGCGCGCGCGGATGCTAGGGCGAGTTTGAAGTTGCAGGTGTGCGGAGCGCATACGCCTTGATTTGTGCTACGGGATAGAGTGTGAACCAAGTAGTAGCGCAAGCAGACAGCAAAAGAAGACGGATTGTGAACAAAGGAGACGGGCTGTCGAAACCAGTGAACAGCAAAAGCGGCGTCACGCAACGGATGCCGCCGCTAAGCATAAAGGCAGGCGAACAAGTCCGGGGAGCAGAAGCAGCACCTGGCAAAAGAAACCCCTAAAGCCGGAAAAAATTAAGGGAAGATCCATTGGTGGATCTTTAGCCAATGCATTAGCATGACCCTTGGGAAATGCCACACGTTCCTCTTTGGACATGATGAAAGATTGTGCCAAAAGAGGAAGGAACACAGAACACAGACAGGCATGTGTTCAGTGTTAGCGTGCGTTCAGTCTAAGTGCATGCGGTCAGTGTTAGTGTTTCCCGTTGGGAAACGACAACACTGACCCCGTAACAAAGCCAAAAAGAGGCAGAAAAGAAATAGAGGAAGCAAAAGAAAAAGCCAAAAAAGAAAAGTGAAGGGGTCAGTGTCAGCGTATGCCAAAGAGGGACGTGTGTGCCGTTTTCCAAGGGTCAAGCTAAAGCATTCCCTAAGGATCCACCAATGGACCTTCCTTTAGCTTTGCTCTCCCCACCGAGCTGCGCACCGTGCGAATATCAAGTCAATTGGCACGATTGTTGGAAGGGTTCCATTCACACAATGCGTGATCAGTGCAGAAAAAATTTGGTACCTCGCTTACCTCGATATGCTGCTTATCTAAAACATTTTCTAGCTTTCATGAGTTCGAGTTAACGAGGGTTTACTGTGTCAAAGGGTTCTGCATTGACAAGAGACGACTGCAACACATTTTTTTCTTAATCTCGATAGGTAACGTGTGACGGTGTTCGGCCACTCTCTTGGACGGCGTGACCCACCCGTGTGACTGCCTTGGCGGAGGCAGGCACGTTGGGCAGGGCGTCGGGCGGCGCCACACTCATGGAGCCTTGACGGTAGCTGCTCAGCCGGAAGCCAACCGTGGCCTCGCCCGTGGCCAGGTGGCGCCCCACCGAGAACTCGTTCTTATTGCGGTAGCCCTCCGTCACAGGGGACGCTCGGATGGGGAGCACGGGGCAGCAGCCCCCATGGGCCTCCCTGCGAGGATTTATGTCGTATCCCTAAGGATGGCAAGGATAAGCATATACTCCAGGTAACATTCCCACTCAAATCGATTTATTTCACAATGAAGATAATTGTCTCTTAAATGTCTATACACTGGCAACGCAACTTTTTCCTCTTTGCGAAAGTAGTCCTTTTGTGGAGCAGGAGGCGCTCGGCGTCATCCACTCCTTCAAGGCTCTATCGTCGACGTGTCAGGTGGCAGCGCATTTGAGGCGTATCCCTGTTGAGGAGTGTCTGCCACTCCTGTAGCCTCCTCTGAAATGGGCACAGTTCCTGGCTTTGGTTCATCTTGAACTGGCTGCCACGGTGTTTTGAGCTGAAGATCTTCCGAGTTGGTGGAGCCAGACTTTGCAATTGTAGCCAATCTATGATACCCAAACGCGTGACTTGCATCTTCTGGCACTTTAGAAAACTTGCTGACATTCCCTGTTTTGCACCCAACCAAGGTCGAAAGTGTTTGGTCCTTTCTTTGGAATGATTTCCCTTGATTTGGAGAATAAGGGTCTCTGGGGATGTGCGAATAGTGATTTTTCAGTTTGAAACGAATATGAAGGGAATAGTTCCTTTGTACAAATAATTTAAAATCGAACTGAATAATATTGAAGAGAAGCGAATAGTTTGTGGCCGTCAATGCAGTCATGGTAAAGAACCCTTGGGACTAGGGAACAAAAGAAAGGACAAACACGACAAGGACTGAAGAGTACTTCACCAGCTAGCCTACACAATTACTCTTATTTCAATACAATTGTGTCTCATTAATATGGACACTTTCGTTGCCCAGAAAAAACATCCCTAGTGTGAATCGTTCATAATAGTGAATCAAGGTCGAGATCACAAGTAATGAAAATGAAGCAGGACCGCAAAAGAAAAAAGTATTTAGGAAAACAATTCTAAGACTCATTTGCACAGACACTTTTGCGTTCACTATTAGAAACATAATCCACAATAGATTGAAGGGAGTAGACTTGTTGCACCCCTTTTAGAGCGCAGCTCTTAGGCGCCCGCTTCCGGCTTGACCGGCGTAGCCGTAACCGCGCGGTGCATGATGCGTGAACTTCTCCGCTAAATTTAGCGGAAAATTTTCCCCGCTAAATTTAGCAGAAAACTTTCCCTGCTCAATCTAGCAGGAAATTTTCCCCGCTAAATCAAATGGGAAATTTTCCCCACTAAATTTAGCGGAAAATTTTCCCCACTAAATCTAGTGGGAAATTTTCCCCGCTAAATTTAGCGGAAAATTTTCCCCGCTAAATCTAGCGGAAATTTGTCCCCGCTAAGTTTAGCGGGAAATTTTCCCCACTAAATTTAGCAGAAAATTTTCCCCACTAAATCTAGCGAAAAATTTTCCCCGCTAAATCTAGCGAGAAATTTTCTCCACTAAATCTAGCGGGAAATTTTCCCCGCTAAATCTAGCGAAAAATTTTTTCCGATAAGTCTAGTGAAAAATTTTCCCCACTAAATCTAGCGGAAAGTTTTCCCCGCTAAATTTAGCGGGAAATTCTGCCCGCTAAATGTAGAGAAAAATTTTCCCCGCTAAATCGCAGAAAATTTTCCCCGCTAAATCTAGCAGAAAATTTTCCCCGCTAAATCTAGCGGGAAATTTTCCCCTAAATGGGAGGCAAGCAGGAGAAGAGGAGGGGCATAGCCTCCTCTCCTTACCTTCCCCTCCTCCTCCTCAAGAGCTGCGCTCTAATTTGGCGTTACAGGGGATTGTAAACGGCTTTCATTTTTTATTGTAACTTCTGTTTCAGCCCATGTTGGTGAATTAATTTTAAGTGTGTGCTGCATACTCGTTTCATCCATTTTTTTTTTCGTTTTTAGTCTGAAATAAGGTATGTTTTGCAGCATTTCAAAATTTGAAATACATTAGAACCTCGTTGATAAGTTTTTCAGGGGACCGCGGAAAATAAAATATATCATCTGGGAAAAGGTAACAACCGATAATGCACTTAAGGAGGCTCTACATGAGATAGAAAGCAGCTTTTATACAACGGTTCATTTTATGTGTACTTAGAGAACTGTTGAGGACTCAGACACTTAAACTTTGCTTGTTTTGTGCCCCCCCCCCCCCTCCCCCCCCCGAGTCTATTTAAAGCCTGGTTGATAAAAAGGAGCTTTCGCCCCGATCTCCTTTCGTTTGGCGACAATGCTGTTCAAAGTTGACGACGCAAGTCCGAGGTCTCTTGCGATGCCAGATCTCTTCCGGCTGGGATTGTGATCCACCGTCTGAAGTATATCAAACTCCTCTTTAAAAGACAGTGCCTTCCTTTTTCGCGATGCCATGGGCGCCGTCAATGGGCGCAAAGCGCACATGCTCCGAAACACCACAGTTCACGCAATCGAGCGGAACAGAAACGAGAAGTGCAGCGTGCATCTGGGTACACCTAGATTGCCTTCATGTTCGAAGCAAGACATAAAAGCACCCCAGGTACACCTCGTGCCAGAGAAAGAGGAGGACAGATGAAAGAGGAGGACTGATGAAAGAGAGAACGAGCGTTTGCCGCCTCGCCAGCCTTGCTCCCCGTCCGAGCAGTGCTCCAAGGTCACACCTGGGCAAGATGGGAAGCTGTGGCAGAGCTCAGCAAAGCCCAGCGAGGAAACAGACAGAAAAGAGGGGGAAAGGAGTAAAGGGAAGATGGGCGTCTACGTGCCCACGCGTGCCGTGCGATCCGCATCGCATGCTTCGGCTTTGCTCCGCTAGCTTCGCTTCGAAGCCAGCATGGCAGCCTGGTGCCCGGCGCGCCGCGATGCCGACACTTTAGAATATAAAAACCGGGAAAGCAAACGTAACAGGCAGGAAACTAACACACGTATCTCTATGGACGTAGAACGAGACTGGCGTTTTTGAACGTAACAGCCGGGAAAACGTATCAACCAAGAACATATCAATAAGGTTCTATTGTACTTCGAAAATATTAGAGGTTGACGAATAGCCCCATTCAGTTCGAACTTCGAGTCGAATATGGCATTATTCGCTTCAATATTCAAAAGTTTCAAATATTTGCAGAACTCTAAAAGTTGCCCTTTGTAGTGTCAAGTAGGTAACTTTACTCGCACCAAGTCACCTATCTGAAATTCTTGGTATTTTGCGGTTCTCTTTAAATCTGTATATTTCTTTGTTTTCACCCGGCGCTTTTTCATCTTCTCGTGAAGCTGGTGATTTGTTTGCGATGATTTCCGGAAGCTGAACAAAGGCCTTCACATTCGGTTAGTCCTGAAATTCCGACCGTGCAGCAGGTAGGCAGGTGTGGAACCTCTGGTGGAGTGAGGCGTCGCTCTGTGAACTCCAAGGTATTTCGTGACTGCTTCTTGTAAAGGATGACCTTCCAAACTTGCAACTTGTACAACACTCTTGAGTACTCGACTGAATCTGCTTGAGGATAGTGTACAGACGAATGCAGCTGGGTGATTTCTCTTTCCTGGAGAAAATTCTTGAACTGTGATGACGTGCACTTACTTCCGCAATTGGTAACTACTTTTAATGGATAGCCTTCCTTACTGAAAACTAAATGCAGGAACTTTATCAGCTTTGTGGTTGTCACGTCATTTGCAAGTCATAAGTCACATCATTTGCCAATTAAACTGTCGCAAATGGGCTACGCATGTCACGCCAAGAGTTGTCTTGCGAGATCGTAGCGAGTGCACGTCCCGGGAATGAGACACGCGCGCCCCGGACGCAGATGGAAGCTCCTTGGCATTGGTAAAACTAAAGAAGCGCCTAGAACCACACGACAGCGTCGCCACTTGGCTCCGTCGTGACGGCCCGGTCTCCCAGGCAGGCAAGAGCGCTCCCCCCGGGGCCTCGCCCATACCACCTAGAGGGCAACGCCTCAACGTCTTCCCGTCAAACGTCATCACCGGTGGATCTACGTAGCACCCAGCACGCATCAGCATCACCGTCCGCATGCCTCGTGGCGTCTCACGAGCGTGACGCTAGCCCGCGTTGCTGCCAAGATGGACGCGTCTGCTGCTTTGCGGCAAGGGCGGCCTTGTCGCTTAGTCAGCATTGCCTCACCTCTGCTGCTTGAGCCAGGGCCTGAGGGCCGGGTTGGTGGCCTCCAGCTTGCGGGCATACTTGACCAGCACTTTCCTCACCAGGTCCTGCTTCTGCTGCAGCTGCTGCTCATAGGGAGTGTCCCACCAAGCGGCCACGGACTCCTTGATCCTGGCCACACGCAGAACCTCTCATTCAACAACACTCGAAGCTTTTTCGAAAAACGCAGTAGGAGTTTTGACATTAAGCAATGCAAAACGTCACGCTTGCATTGCGTAATGTCACAACTCAGACTGCGTTTTTTTGGTCTAAACATATGTTTCGGCGTCGTCATTCGCTGAGCTGCCTCCGTAACTCGCGGTGATTGGCCCGCCGAGTGTTGTGCGTGAAAGTAGACGCACGGGCTTTTTTTAGAGTGTACACAAATTTTTAACAATATGTTCTTTTTCGACCCTTGTGAGTTGCAGGCTTTTTCCCTTGTGTAGTTGTCTTCACGAAAAAATAAAAATATTAATCCACGGAAAACCTTTTGCTGTGACACAGTGATATAAAAATAATTACAGTGTCTTATATTTAAAATTTTGGCGAGCAATTTTTCTTACAATATTTTGCCACCAATGGGAGAGGCGCAACGGAGCATACGCGTCGGTTCTTCTGCCAAAACGACGGTCGCTTCCCGCAATGCTTGGATAGAAAATGGCGTACCCATGCGATTCACACAATTACCAGCGACCTCCGCGCTTCCCCGTGCCCCGTTGTTCGGCAGCACCATGAGTTGCAGAGTGAATTTTACGACAGTATGAGATGCGGGACATTTTGAAGATTTGAAAATTTCTTGCGGGATGTGGGACACCAGCCCTCAATGCGGGACAGTCCCGAAGTCGCAGGACGGGTGGTCACCCTATCATGTCACCGTGAACATTCTGACGCCATTATTGTGTCCCGTGGACATTTTGATGATGTCATATCCTATCTGATGGATGTCCTAGAGACACCCATTGGGCGCATGCGACACCTATAGGGGGTACGCCATTCCCCCCCTTGGCAGCTGGTTGGTAGCACCACCAGTGACAGCGTTCACGTCACCTCGCATAGTGAAGCGTCGCCCGCTCTGACCTGTTCTAGTGTGATCGCAGCGTCCTGGCTGCGTCCGCGCTTTCCAACGACCGCGTTTCTCGATCTCATCCCAAAAAAAAAGGTTTGGCACCTTTACCTTAAGTCAGCTTACCTGAGCACGATGCTACACAAAACCTACTTGTGTACAGCATAGCTCTGCAAGCGTTTTTAAGTCTTTCAACCCACAGGAGTTGCTCAGAGCTCAGGTTCAATCGCGTGTCCCGCATCTGTAAGCAGCAACGATGGCAACACACTACCATGTTTTTCGTTGAACAGCACTGGAAGACGCTCTATGAAGAGTCTCTGTGTTTATGATGCAGAAATCAATATGGGACGACATTTACCAGTGCCAGTAATGATAAAATCTACATGAGAAGTTTTTAGAGCGCAGCTCTTAGGGGCCCGTTTCCAGCCTGAGCGGCGTCGCCGTTGGCGTCGGCGTCGCCGTCGCCGTCGGCGTCGGCGTAACCGCGCCCCTCCCTCTCCTCCTCCTCCCTCTCCTTCTCCCCCTCCTCCTCCCCTCCTCCTCCTCCCCTTCTCCCCTCCCCTCCTCCTCCTCCCCCTCTTCCTCCTCCCCCTCCTCCCCCTCCTTCTCCTCCTCCTCCCCTCATTGTCCGGCTTGAGCGGCAAGGAGGAAAGCAGTGCGAAGGTGGAGGAGGGGGGAGGAGAGACAAGGAGCCGGAGGCGAGGGGGGGGAGGAGCTTGAAGGACGAGGAGGTGGTAAAGGAGAGGGAGTGGGAGCGGGAGGCGAGGAGGACTAGCAGGCATGATCACGAGGGAGGAGGAGGAATATACCCTCCACTCCTCCTCCTCAAGAGCTGCGCTCCAATTCGGCGTTACAGGAAGTTGTAAACGGCTTTCACTTTTTTCCGTTCCTCATCATCAGACTGCTCTTGGTTCGCTGGCGGATAGAGTAGACGCACTGGGATTGAGATGATTGCGGCGCTTTTTGCCAGCACACGGAGGGGATCTGCGTTCTCAATTTACGGGCCTCGTGTAAAAAAAGTTAGTGCCAACTGTAGCCTCGAACATTTTGTAGAGTATCGCAGCCTTTTGCCGTCCCGTGCAAAAGCCTTTAGTGAAAGGCTTTTGCTAGGAGCTGCGCTGTGGTGCAACTGTCTTGTCACACACTTCTAATGGGACCATCTGTTGTGACTGCGTTTCACTTAGAAAGAGAATACCTGTCGTCAATGCTGCCCTCACAGTGCCTCTTGTCGGGCACCGACAGTTCGTCCTCTCCCAGCTTCCGCTTCTGCACAAGTGGGTCTGCCATAGGGTTAGCTTTCTGGAAGTGATTGGACGAATGGGTGGAAGAGTATGGTCAAACCCCCAGAGTTGGGTGGCGACTTGCGCTACCTAGCTCCACTTTACCTTGGCTGACAGCGTGCACCCCTTAAAAACAAAGCCCTGCACAGTTTCCAAGGCCTTCTCCCTCTCCTCCTCAGACCTGCAGAGTCGAAAACGCAGTGACAGATAAAGAGATTAGACTGGGAACTGGTCCAAAAGAATTTGAAGAAGGAGCCCATTTACCTTATCCCTCCTACATCACAGCGAGAAACTAAGTCAAAGTGAGAGAGAGGCATTAACTGACACTTTTTGGGAAGACACTTTTCAGGAAAAAAAAATGTCTTCCCCAATAGCCTTTTAATTAAAGCCTCTGCTGCTGTTCTCACTTTTTTTTTATCTTGTTGGCAAAAGAATTTTTATAGAGACATTTCATAGAAGGAAGGAGAGTTGGGAACAAACACTCAATGCATCGGACTTCGATGCTTATCTACAAAAACGTTTCGTGCCATTGTACTAAGAAATTTTGTACACACCTAGCAGAAAATGCAGTTCTGGAATTAATTGGGCATGTAGGGATACGGACTACTGCAAGGCCATAAATAATGTTTTATGAGCCTGTTAATACTGTGGTCATTAGAGGCACACATACTTATCTCAGGCATCAACAGACCACTTTACTAAAGTATGTCAGAGCATAGAATAAACAATATGATTTTTTTTTTTTTTTTTAGTTTGGAGAGTGACTGTTTATCTGTCATTTTTCCACTTGTCTCCATCTTTTTTTTTTTTTCAGTTAAAAAAAGAATGGAGCAAGTTTCCGCATCTAATTCTATTTGATGTCAAATGTTTCTTGATATTTAAAGTTGTTTCTACAATCAGCACGCTCACTTCAGACCGTTGGAAGAAATGTCCAGTTATCTAAGACATCTGCATAATCCGCATAAATGAAAAAAAAAGATATGGTTTATGTGTTTTTACTTAATGAACAGTCAAACCTAACGTCCTCGGGATTTGGCATGACAATTCTAAAAATAAAAAATAAAAAATCATTTATTAAAAAAAAAAAAAAATAGCCACACGATGAAGTGCACATTATGAAAATCAAAGGAGCGAGCGAGCAACTTAAACAAGGGTTCATGCGACAAGGGTTTTTTGCCAAAGCTGCAAGCCTAGCCTGTGGTTTCTGTTCAAGAGTATAGAAATAAATGAATGATCAGGAGTAGCTGTATTTATTTTCTGCTTTACTTCCAGACGATGTAATATTTCCAGGAATGTATGTCATAATGAACTTGCCTGCAACTCAAATTGTGAATAGTAAATCACTGTTTCAGATACTGACTAGGGTAATCCTATTGCAAAATAAAAATTAATGAGTTTTTTGGCAGAAAAGAAATCGCTCATCACATATAAAAAGTTAAACCCTAATACGAGTGCTTCATGTGACGAGTACTCCGGCGTAACGAGAATTCCCCATACGAGATGCCCCGTGACAAGTAGGCCTACCGGACGAGTTCACCTATTTCAAGTTTGCCCGTGATGACTGGGCTTGTGACAAGTTCTGCTATATCTGTTCCACGACACCCCATCCCGATTCTGGACAAGTCGAACTAGCGACAAACTGTCCTATGACTAATTGCTCTATGTGACCGTTGCCCGTTATGAATTGTTTTTCGACGAACAGCCTGCAGCCCGTGGCACTTTTGTAGAGTCTAGGAATGTTGTGGCTGCTTGTGGTGGACTTGAAAAAGAATCTATCTGTTAACAGCTGAGATGGCGATGCGGGAGAAAAAGAAAGTCTTCCACCAATGGACACACTTCATCAGGATGTTGTATGTGTGATAAGTTGCAGACAGCAACATGAGGGCACCATCGGAAGGGTTAATAAAAGCATGTATGTGATGGAGCCAGGCGGAGCGTTGTATGTCCTCATCGTGGCAGAAAAAACAGCTCACCGTGTCTTTCCATTGAAGATATAATACATTTTAAAGTGATAGCTTTAAAGAGCTCATGTCGCAGAAAAGCCGGTGTCGGCAGGACGGGAAAATCTTGATTGATCATTAAGTAATTCTTTTGACTCAAAGAAAAAATTAAAAGAATTTTAGGCGGAGCGGGTTCGAACCCTTCGGTTACGAGCCAGACATGCTACCGAACGGGCCTTGCTGACACGCTTGCATGGCTTGGGAACGAGCGGGGGTTTATAATTAGCAACTGTGTCCCACTCTTCAAGGGTAACTGCAAAGAAAAAAAAGTGTATTTTTAAACAGTCTAATTGGGACAAGCGTGTCACAAAACAATTTTTCTGCCAAAAACAAAATTTTTTACAGCAATATTTATTGCGCGAGACTTATTTTAGTTTGCGGCTGTTTCGTCCGTTTTAAATTGCGCGCCACAAAGTTGGTATTACTGTAAAACCCTTAATGTTCGCGAGCCCTCAATTTTCGCGAATTTCATGAATTGAAGAATTCGCAAAATTTAAGGGCGCGCAAAGATTTTGGTTTTTAAGATTTTTAATGCAGGCGTCTGGAATTCGCGAAATTTAGTGGTCGTGATTATGTCATCTGTGACCGATTCGCGAAAATAAAGGGTTATACAGTATACGTCACATAGTGGCGTAAAACAGCCATTCCATGCACATCGAAAGAGCGAGAGTTTCAAATGTGGAGAAATTGTGACTCTTACTAAATTACGCTAATTTAGGGGGAAAATTTTTCCGCTAAATTTAGCGGGAAAATTGTTCCGCTCAATTTGGCAGGGAATTTTAATTTTTTTTTCTGCTTAATTTAGAGGGGGTATTTTTTCGCTAAACTTAGTAGGGAAGTTTTTCCGCTAAATTTAACGGGAAAATTTTTCCTCCAAATTTAGCGGGGAATTTTTTTCCCTAGACTCAGCGGGGAAGTTTTTTCGCTACATTTAGCGGGGAATTTTTTTCGCTAGATTTAGCAGGGAAAGCTTTCCGCTAAATTTAGCGGGGAAATTCTCCCGCCAAATTTAGTGGCGAAATTCCCCCAAATTTAGCAGGAAAATATTCCCACTAAATTTAGGCGCCGTGGGACGTCACTCGTGGCCCTCGTGATGTCACATGTGACATGATTAGGGGAATGTCCCATAATGCAACACGCAATTGCGCTGACAGCGACGCTGCTCAAGCCGGAAACGGACGCCTAAGAGCTGCGCTCTAAAAACCTTCAGCAAAAGAATGTGAAGGTGTATTTACATATCGTTCAGTTGCCCTCGAAACCTTTAGGCTATCAGCCGATATCCAAACAAAATGTCAATCTTTTCTCCACATAGGTCCTGTGACCTTTCAAACATGTTACTGCATGAACCAAAGAAGTGTTCTTGCCAGACAGCATTTATCGCCTGCCTAGCTGTCCTTGTTTCTGCCGAGGTCACCATTGACCCGGGCAGTGCAATTACTAGAACTGGGCTATCTTTCAGTGTTTTGAAGTTTACTTTTTTCTTGAACATAACTTAGGGTGACCATATTCCTCAAGGGAGAAAAGGGGACATTCAGCGAAACTATGTACTCTTGCGAAAACAGGACAGGATTCTTTATTGGGACAAAAAGACGGGACGGCAGAAGCGGACTTCAAAAACGAGATTGTCCTGGCCAAAAGGGACGTCTGGTCACCCTAACATAACTGAATGTCTTGCTTGAGATTTGAACTTCAATCACAAAAGATTTATTTATTTATTTATTTATTGTACTTTTCCGGTGCCCCTAAACAGCCCATAGGCCTACATAAGGGTGCACCGTTGACACCTACATGCAGTTTTGCATAAAAAAGATGCACGCAAACGCATACATAATTTGAACAAACAAAAACGTGAAATATAAATGTAAATGAGAAAAGTGGATAAAGTTGAAAACAACACTGTTTGCCAAAAAGACTGATACAAGAGGGCGTCATATTGGAAAGTTGTAGAACAACTTCCGAAATTCCTTATTAAATTAGCTAAACATTCTGATTGACAAGATAAATATTTACCTAAGGATATAAAGCTTTGTGTCAGAAATGGTGTGTTCAAAAGTCCTTTTGGGGGACGTCTGTAATTAGTTAACTTCACAAAGTGTCTAAATTAACCCAACAAAATTAATCTACGTGAAAATTAATCTTTTACAAAAAAAAAAAAATCAAAGAAAATAGTGACAAGAAACCCCTTAATACAAGCAGGCAAGAAAATTCTTTTGGCAGGAGGCAGAGGGTCACCTGAATGAAACAAAGGCAAACTTGTTGCCCACAATCTTGATCTTGTGGGGGTTGAGCTTGAGTTTGTTTGCCAGCAGTTTCTTGAGTTGCTGTAAGAGAGAAGAGAGCAGCACAGTCACCCAGGGTGGACGAGTCAATACGTACAAGTAACCGCATGCCGACAACTAGGTATACCTTTTGTGCAGGAGCAAATCTACATACTCTTATGAACCCTAGGTACAATTTCTAGTAATTATGGGAAGTCTCTTTTCTACAGGTATAGGTACTTGCTTTGCTGGAATCTCAAACAAAATAAGAAAGGATTCTTATCTGCATAGGATGGCCACTAAATGGCGCAATCTTACTCGACTCCATCTCGTCTCAAGACGGGCTGCGACGGATGCTAGAAGACACCCGAGTCGATCCGGCATTGTGAACTTGTCACACGATTACACGCCCCCTTGCATTACCGCGCCCCTTCCGAAGCTTACGTGACTCTCGTGCAGCAGCTGACGGGCTCCGACAGCTCCTAGCATCCGGTGTGGTTCATCGTAAGGACAAGACCTTTCTCATCTCTGTAGTTATCCGATTGGAAGATAGAAGGCGCTCACGCACTTGCCGCCATTGGGCGGCTTCAATTTCGTTAGTTGCAGTTTTGGCGTGCATGTGGCCGCATTGGTGTTTTACGTCATTTTCACTTAATTTCGTAGCGCACGACCAACGAAACAGTTGTACTAAGCCAATTTGAGAATCGCGAAGTGGCTTCAAGCTCAAAGGTCACGTTCGTCGTCAATTTCAGCCAGTTTGCCGGCGAAACAACTGAAGTCGTGCACTGCTGGCTTTCGACATGACTGGCACACCCAAAAAAGTTTTGGTGTGCACATGCTGTTGCGGCACGATGGAAGGCAATGAGCCCAAGATAGAAGCGGAGCTTCAATCACAGGTTTGTTGCCTGGCACAGCCCAGGCAACATCAACATTGGCTGGCACCGTATTAGAGACGTATATATACAAACTTCCAGGGAAGAACTGGGCCCATCGCACCCTGTGCTACCTTGTGTACAGGAAGAGGGGCACCAAATAGATGCGCCAGGTAGGAGGACTGCAAGACCACCATGGTTTTCACACAATCTGGCTGGAGACAGCAGAGAGGACAAGGTGGGCTCCAAGGCACTCCGGGAGGACATCCATGCGGTGGGGACAGAAGGGTGGAGGGCGAGAGCGTCGACCAAACCTTCACTTGGAGTGCACCAAGCAGAAAAGATTACCAAAGAAAAGATACCGTGGTACGACAACTCAGCAGCCAGCGGGCTCTTCGCGGAGGCACGCATGGGGACTCTGCGAACCCGGGTGTGGAGGGCCAGGTTCACGTTGGGACTGGCCGAGGTGTGCAGGCCTTGTGAATGGCACAAGGAGACGACAGAACACCTGGTACTGCAGCGCCAGAGCATCGTAACGGACCCCCTGAAGGCGGCATTGCCTGCTGCACTCCGTTTCCGAAGCAGTGGCGACACGGAGGAGAGGAACCAAGTGGACACACACTCGGGTGAGGGGGTGACTAAGTGAAGACTTGAGGTCTAGTGGCGGGAGACAGGTCGGCGGAGACAGGCAGTGGGACATGAACCGACCAGAGGGGCCAACAGAGCTTCAGGCGGAAGAGGAAATCGCAGAAGAGGCGACTGACTAGATCCAGACAGATGCAGTGTTTGTCATCACCTGATTCAAAGGGGAAGCCGTAGATCCACATGCATATCCATATCTCTAAGTCTTGCAACTACAGGTTGCGTGACATCAATTTTGATCGACTGATTAGGGGCTTTCTGACACAACAGCGAAGCGGCCATTCTCTGCCAAACTTCAATATTTAGGCAAAGCAGAGGTAGAGTGCTATTCAATGTAAAAGTAAAACTCAGATACCCTGGTACAGGGATGTAGCCAGGGGGGATGGGGGGGTCCATGGGCTCCCTCCCCCCCAAAATCTTCCATTTTGCTTTGTCCCTCTTGTTCCCCTTCTCCAGGGATTATTTTCGTCATTCTTGTCCAGCTCGCTTGCACCTTTGCATTTAATTGTACCACCTTTCCCCCCCCCCCACCGAATCAAAATCCTGGCTACGTGCCTGCTCTGGTAAAAGACAAAATGCTAAGTAAGACATAATTATCTGTGGTGATCACGTAAAATAGAAAGTGCATGTTGGAAAAGCTAGAACTTAGTGAAAAATTTGTTTTCTCAGAGAACATGACAACGTGCTCAAAAGGAATTATCGGCTACAGGGTGAAATGAAATATAATACTGTTGTGTCCGCTCGTGTGTACCGGCACCAGGGACGAAACGAGAAAAACGACGACAACACGGGCACGCGCGATTCCTGGGACGATCGAGCACCATCCACCTCAAACGTTTTCATGTGCGACGTATTCTCGATGTAACCGATGTAAATGAGCATGTACAGTCCTTATTTCAACTAGTAAACATTGGCGACGAGGATGGGATATCGCCCTGGCAACGGAAAGTGCGGCCAAGCAGCAGGAAAACTTCAAAGAAAGAATTCCAACGTAGCAACCACGTGGACACAGCACAAGTGACTCCACGAGCGAACCATTCTGAGCAACAGGTGGGTTCATGGAGAGAACGGAAATAAGGACTGTACATGCTCATTTACATCGGTTACATCGAGAATATGTCACACATGAAAACATTCGAGGTGGATGGCGCCCGATCGTCCCAGGAATCGCGCGTGCCCGTGTCGTCGTCGTTTTTCTCGTTTCGTCCCTGGTGCTGGTACACACGAGCGGACACGACACCTCTTCCCCTATGTTGAGTTCCTGTACCTGGCAGGCGGATGTTTCGTCCTTGTCGATTTGCGCAGCACAGGTTCTTCAACAGATGACTTCGAGTCGTTACTTTCTCGCTTGTGGTTACACTTCCGAATGTGGTTCAAGTGTCGGCGAACTGTCTCTTCTCCGCACTGCACTGGCCATGAGCGTGGACCGAATTTCCTGACCAATGTGCCTCTAATCCATTCAGGTTTTTTCAGGAACTGTCGGATCATGACATGTCCTCCCACCTGCAGCTGGCGGTTTCTAGGTAACTTCTCTGTTGCCGGTGGTGTAGCTTTGGTGGGTACAAGGTCTAGAAGAGTCGGTAATTCCCTCCCGAACATTGCCTTAGCCGGGGTCATGTTCGTCGTCTGATTGACTGTGCAGTGCTGACGGAATAAAAACCTCGACAACCGCAGGTTCACTGATCCAGATGGTTCCCATGCTAGTGCCTTCTTCAGTTCGCCCACGTAGCGTTCTGCCTGCCCATTAGTGGCAGGGTGGTACGGGGAAGACGTGACGTGCTGAATCCCATTGTTTTTGTAGAACGTTGCAATCTCAGCAGAGACGAAAGCTGTCCCGTTGTCCGACACTAGTTTCTGTGGAATTCCAAACATCGCAAACAGGGATCGCAGCACATCGATTACTGCCGCCGACGTAGGATGGCCTACTTGACACTCCTCCAGCCATTTGAAGGCATCCACCACCACCAAGAAAGTGCGTCCCTCCACGGGACCTGCAAAATCCACATGCAGTGTGTGCCACGGTGTCGACAGTTGAGGCCACGGCGGAATATGGGCTTTTGCTGGGTTCCGCTGTGTACGCTGGCATGGATCACAAGATCCAACGGTTGTTTGAATGTCTTCATCCAACCCTGGCCACCACAAGTAACTCCGAGCGCAAGTCTTCATAGCTATTACTCCTCGATGTCCTGCGTGAACCAGGTTCATGGCTTGCTCCCGTGCAGCTGTGGGAATGACAACCCTTGTTCCACATCCATCCATCCATTCCACATCCATCCACCTCGAACGTTTTCATGTGTGACGTATTCTCGATGTAACCAATGTAAATGAGCATGTACAGTCCTTATTTCAACTAGTAAACAAATACATTGAGAATTCCGGAAAATAAGAGCGTCTTTGTGGCACAAGGGCAGAGCAGAGACCAAGAATATGCCAGATCAACAAGATGTCACACCAGTGTTCGCACAGTGGTGGATCTGCCCCATGCAACAAGTATACATGGGTGGCATAAAAATGACCAAGCCTCAAGCGACAGAGTAAGGTCTCGTGAGACTGGGTTTTACGGGAGTAGCTCTCCCATATTCCTAAAACAGTCTTGATAAAGTGTAGCTTATTGTTATGCTGTTCGTCCCATTCTGACTGCCATTTTTGAAAAAAGTCGCGGGCCTGTCGGCATTTCTGTTGCCATTGATCTCTACAAGGTTGGGTAACCTAGCAAAATATTATGCCATGCCCCTTTTGTAGGCCCCTTTTTATTTTTGCACACACGAGTTGGATGAGATTACGCTTTCTATCTTTTACGGAGCTGATTGCAGTTAAGACAATTTGGGAATCAACAAACATGACGGCCTTCATTGTATGGCTTTTTATAACCTTTTTGTATGGCTGTTTATAACATTTAAAACTTTGTTATAAAAAAGTTGAAGGAGTGGTCGTAATTATTTTATTGTAACCATTAGTTTGTTATAGCCAGTGTCCATTTCTTCCCACTATTAGCAAGCGAGGGGAATTATGATTATTTTGTTATATCCATTAGTTTGTTTTATATAAGGTTTGGCATTTTCAGTTTTTATTTTTCAAATTTCAGCATACTTTTTTCGGTGTTCACTTTAAAATTAAATTTTCATTTTTCTTTTGTGTATATTTATTCCCAAAAAGGTTTACCTTTTTTTTCGGTGAATATGAAAGAAACACCATCGGAACTGGATCAGATGATCCTTGTAGCTGTGATATTTGTGATTACTCAAAGAATAACGGCACATATACACATGTCGTCTTCGCTACAACTTCCGTCAGGACACACCTTAAAATCGCTGAATTCGCGGGGATAATCTTCAGCACGCTTCGTTTTCCTTCCCATTCTAACGACGTGACCGCCTGAGATGATGACAGTACAGACACCAGCGGAATGGCAAAAAAAAAAAAAAAGAGTCCACTGCAGTTATGTTTTTAACCACATAGAGGTTTGACAGATGATGATAAGAAAGGTATTCAACGGTTTTTCTCAATGTCGTCCGAAGTGCATGAAACGGAAAACCTTATACTAGCCCACATCCAAACTGTTTTTTAGGACCGGGAGCTTGACACACTTAGCCCGATCACAGAAAGGACATAGATGTCCCGCAAAGGCAAATCCAAGACCTCTTTTGTTGCATGTTGAACCTTGGAAGAGGGCAATCACAAAGACATCACACAATGTCGAACCTTGCAAAGCCCTCTCTCCCCTCCCCCCTCCCCTACCCATCTCGACGCGGCCCTAAAAAACTGACCATTTTCGGTTAAAACCGAATTTCTGAAAATGGATTCGGCATACTTTTATCGGTTTAAACCGAAAACTCCGAACCGTAGTAATTATATCCCATTTGTTATAACGAGGTTTTATTGTAGTCCGCTATTGTTAAAACACCTTGAAGTTCTACAGTGACTGTACTGGCAATACTGCTGAACCGTTGAATGCTCTTAAATGATTCAGAGTACACAGCAGAGCCAACAAAAGAGATGCTCTTTGCCCCGTCGGTATAAAACTGTGCATAGTCGTACTTCATAGAACTCCTCCTGGATGACTATTGGAGAAATGTTACACTTCTTGAACCTGGTGAAACTCCAATTGCAGCTGACTGGCAGCAGGGGGGCTATGTTCGACAAATATTTCGTTTCTCCTAAAAAGAAACGGAAGTGACGGAAGCGACGATATCGCGTCTGATTGGTTAGGGGCTCAAATGACGAAAGTTCCCTCTTTCGTCATTTGAGCCCCTAACAAATCAGACGCGATATCGTCGCTTCCGTTTCTTTTTAGGAGAAACGAAACATTTGTCGAACATAGCACCCCAGGTCCCAAGGAGCAACAGTGTCTGTCCTTTCGAGTAAGCTGATGTCACTCAGTTCGAGACTAAGAGATCGACAAAGGTTCTCAAGGCGAAAACTGAGCGGCTGCTCAATGCTAAGCTTGTTTTGAAAAATATGGGAAAAACTAAAGTTATGCACCGATGGTATGTTAGTTGGTAAGGGTCAGACAGGATTTTTGTAGGCGTAATTCAAGCTAATATAATGTCGTCTTTTTTCCAGCAACATTGATGTGTTTCGACATCTAAACTAAGGGTTGGTGATGTCCGAAAAGTGCCTGTGTCAAGTCGAAGGCCAAGGTGGTAAACGGGATCCAACATCTTAAGTGCTGACGACCTTGCTGATCTATAGACTATTGCTTTCTAATGAAGGCGAGACCTCAGGAGGAAATTATACAGGCGCAGCAGACCCTTTCTGTCAGATCCCCATGACTTGTGTGACAAGACTTTGAGGATATTAGCAGATTTTAGGCATTTAAGTTTTTTAAGCTGTTTCAGATGAGAAATAAAATTTAGCTTCCTATCAAAAATGAGGCCTAAGAACTTGTGTTTGTTTCATAAACTTAAAGCAATTCTATTGATATCCCATGCTGGATCCAGTGTTATTCCACGTCTAAGAGAAAGAGGTCTGCACACCGTTTTCTCAGGTGAGAACCGGAAACCAGTTTCGTCGGCCCACTTACTAATTTTATTTATTGTGAGCTGTAGCTGGCATTCAAAGCTAGACAAATTGCAAAAAAATGATATTTGAACGTCATTAACAAACAAGGAGTAAGAGACGGTGTGTGGTATTACGAAACGGAGTTGATCTTCACAGCAAATAATGTAATGCTCAAGACCTTGTGGCACCCTATTCGCCTGAATAAAAGGGTCTGAATATGTGGCACCTAGTCTAACTTTGAATGTTCGATCAGATGGAAAGCTTTTTATAACACAGGGCATGCGACCAAGTAAACCACATGCGAACAGGTCCCTAAGGATTCCCTACCGCATGTCTTCGTCAAAAAGGAGTGACACGCAGTGCTGCCTAGTCACAAAAGCATTGCACATAATTGTTTCCAGGTGCACTAGGTGGTCAAAAGTTGACTTCCCTCCCCGGAAACCACACTGGTTCCTGCGGTAATATTCACGTTGATGTGCATCAATGAAACCCCAAATAGGGGGCAGCCAGTTGGGAGCGCATGCATGACCGAGCTCGCTCGTGTTGTTCAGTCTCCCTCCTTGTGGTAAAGCAGAATTATCACGACATTCACAACATGGTGTCAGAAGTGGGGTACTGACGGCCACAACAGTGGAAGGGACAGGCGACGAGCGACGTCTAGAGCAAGCTGAAGAAGAGGTGTCCGATCGAGCAGAAAAAGACAATCGGGTTTGCCTGGTCCGACGGTTTCACGAACGATCGGTGATTCCCCCTTCTGCTTCGCTTCCGACCATGTTCATGACAGGGCCATTGACTTTGAGATGAAGAAGAACAGTCAACATTGAGAATTCCATTGAGAAGAATAGTCAACAGTGACTGTTCTTCTGAAGAAGACTAAACTTAAAAAACCAACGTTCTAGTTCTTTGGCCAAAAGATATATATAGATTTTTTTCAAACTTTCCTTGATTGTGCTTTGAAAGCTAGCTCAGTGCCTATTTTCACCCGATTTGGTTTTGATTTTTGGTAGGCTATCCACGAGATATTACAATAAGTTTAGTTCATAAGCGCATATGCAACCGTGTGAACCAGATATTGTACATTTATCGACGATCATTAGTGCAGTGGAAGAACAGCTCGCTTACGCAAACATAGAGCCACAGGGTTTAAAAGTAGCGGATATAAATAGGGGCAAACAATTTTGATGCCAATGCTTGCCAGCTTAAACTCAAGCGTTGTGTGTTGACATGACACATGGCACAGCACAGCCCGGTTTCTGCCGCCATATTTGTAGAGCGGTGACCCCTACATGTCCCTGGAGTCGCGAATTGGATAGTCTGCTGTCGGTCCTATTTCCAACGATACAACACCTGCCGACGCTGTTCCAAGAGCTACGTCATGAAGCAGTTCTTCGGATGTTGCAGGAATAGCTCTCTCACAATATAATACACAGTTTGCGCGTTTCGAATAAGCTTGGTGAGCAGCATACATTTTAATTTTAGCCCGAGTGGCTATACAGAGCAGGGGTGCTATGTTGCGCTTTTTGCACTCCCAGGAGACTTGGAAGAGGGAAGTGACGTCAACGACTAGAGCAAATGCAGATTGGATGTTGACAGAAGAAAACAAAATCAACATTCAATCTGCATTTGCTGCGTTGTTGACGTCACTTCCCTCTCCCTAGTCTCCAGGTAGTGCAAAAAGCGCAACATAGCCCCCCAGTCCACTTTCACACACTTGGAACCGAGTAGGACAGAGAGAGACAAGACCAGTTTCTAAGCCTCTTGTGACGGTGGAGGACCTGCTTTGCAGCAGGGCATCCGGTCATCCGACGTTGCAAGAGGCTTAAAAACCGGTCTTGTCTCTCTCTATCTTGAGAGCCATTCACACACTTGCAACCAAGTTGGACGGAGAGAGTTAAGACTGGTTTTCAAGCGTTTTACGAGATCTTAGGACCAGCTCTGCAGTTGCGCATCCGGTCCTAAGACGTGCAAGAGGCTTAAAAACCGGTCTTGTCTCTCTCGGTCTTACTCAGCTGCAAGTGTGCGCTTGGCGCTTTATTGGGTACACTGAAAAGAGTGGCCGGCGCTCCGTATCGCACCGGCTGCTGCACGCTATGGCGCAGGCGCAGTGAGCAAAAAATCATAAATAATGAGGAAATGAGGTTTTAGCAAACAGCAGTCATTTAAGCGAATCAACGTTTTAGCGAATGACTGGGGTGCGTGTTAGCCCACCCGCTCCTCTGCGTTCATGACGCTTCACAGCGACAGTCTGTGGCAGCTCATTACAAAAATGTTAACCAACCTGGCCCACCCAAAAACACCGCTTTGCAGCAGCCAACCATTCGCTAAAATGCCTTTCAATGATAAGTCGGCTTTCGCTAAAAAGTCGTTTCCAGAGCCATATTTTGGGAGAGTTAGGCCAGTAGGTGTGGCAACAAAGGCGCCGGGAAGGAGAAAAGTGAAGGAAAGAGAGGAGAGCGCCAAAGGAGCGGGAAAGAGGGGAGTAAAGAGGAGACGACCATCATTTGGACGCAACGCTGTCGGCGCCGAGCACTGTTGAGGCTATGCGTTGTCTGCGACAGGCTTATTTCTTTTTCGCCAGAATAAAAGTTTGCGTTCAAACGTGAAGAAACTTCATTCCTTAGCTTTTTAAGCCACGAAGGAATAACACTATATCATTTTCTCGCCAGAGTTTGCCAAATAAAAAGAAAGAACTGAAATTTGGATGTCGATCCTATACATTCCGCCGGGCGAATGAATGAAAATGGCGGCCCTACCCAATCAGCTGGGAGCAGCCGGGAGTTCACGCGCATGCGATCCCGCATCTCGCTCTGCGCCGCAGGCTGATTGGCTCACTCGGAAAAGGGGCGTTACGGCGGCGAGATCATAGGCTAACCAAACCCTCCCCATGTACGGCTCTAGTCGTTCGACCATCTGAGCGGCACCCCTGGGTCATCTTTTCCAACCCCGCAGTCGCACCGTGTTCCCCCTCCAGCTCACCCCGTGTCCGAACATTTTCGGCAGGTTTCCGATCTCGATCTTGTGCAGCTCCGAAGTGAACTCGTCCCTCTTCGTGTACGAGTATGGGTCATGATCGTCGGAGGCGTCCGCTCCAGCCGTGCCTTCCGCTGTGGACATTGCGAACAGCTTCCACGCAGTACCTAGCTGGCGGTCTCCAACTCCTCTCACGCTTCACAAGAAAGCCGCCACGGGAAGCGCTGGAGCGAGCCAGGCACACGGACGCGCATGGACGCGGTAACACAACCACACACCAACCACCAACAAAACGGAGCAACTGAGCCAAAGTTGAACCAGATGGTTGAACTTTGAACCGTTGAACGGTTGAACCCGCTGAACGTTAACCGCTGAACGGTTGAATAGAGTTGGTCGTGGGTTGAACTACACTGTAGTTGCACTAGTTGAACCGGTTGAACTGAGCGTGAACCATGCGTGAACTGCGTGAACTGAGCAAGCACATGGACAACACAGAGTTGCCACCAACGTTTTGGCTATCACCCGATAAGCTGTGCGTCAGAAAAAAAGCCCCGGAAAGTTGTAAAGAAGCCCAATTAAGAAATAACACTGTTTTGTATACTACAAAACTTTTTCTTTTTTTTATGTGGCGAGCTTAGGACTATTTTGCGCTGCTTTACCTACTCCCCACACCAACTAGCCCAGCCGGCCCGCGTAGCCGCCCAGCCCAGCTTTCAACTTTGGTCCAGCTGTCTGGCTCAGAGCCACTGTCAAAGCCAGTCAGAGCCAAGGAGGTTGCCCTTCTGGCTCCCACCTGGCGGCGAATGAGCAAATTATTCACATTGGCGTCGGCCGAGGCTGGGAGGGCTTAGCATAATCTTCGGACTACGAACTCTTTAGGGAAGTTTTTTTTCTATCGCTTTTAATCGTGAAGAACCATGGCCGATGACAATGTATGTATTCTGATAAAAGTGTATGAGAGATCAAATTTTCTGTCAACGTCCTTAGTTTAGCGAAAACGGAGCTGTGACATGAGAATGCTTAAGTGTTTTGTTAGGCTTACGCCTGTCAGCCCCCGTAACCATGGTCCGTGGAGATCGGGCATTGATCATGTTTTAATGTTCAAGTCTTGAGAGAAGTGTCTGCGTATATATATATATATATTTAATATATGCACGTAATACTAGCTTTTGCTATGTTGCGTTGTGTAGGAGATTGCAAGCCGGAGTCCGTGAAAGAAAATAGCAACATTCACCGGAGGTGTGCGCGTTGCCAAGCCGGCAGTTCCGTACGGTTTGCCGGCTTTTGAAAGCGCATCCAGCGTTGGTCGAAGAGCGCTGATCGCTGCTTGGCTTTGTTTTTCTTGTAGGGCGACAGCAACAAAGAACGGAGTCGGAACGACAGCGTCGGCGACCAAGTGAGTCCTCTTGACAAGCAGTCGCGCTGCATTTTGCTGAATAATGCGCCGTGCCGCTTGTTGTCGCGATTCCTTCAGACTTCGAACGCGAGATTGTCGCGTTTGAATTGTGCTCTAACTACGTGCGCTAAATCTGCAGAACCGTAAGGCAGAACTGAAGAGAATTTCTGCCTTTTTGCTTTTGTTTGGTAGCCCTTTACCATCGCGAGGCGGTTAGTACTTTTGGAAAGAAGGCCCTGCAGTACGATCGGTTCCAGAAAGAAAGTTTTCAAATTGGGTTCCTCGCGGGATAGGCAGAGGCCTGTTGGAAGGGACCGGATACATCAATTTGTGAATGTTTTGGGCTAAATTTTTTCAAAGAGGTGGCTGAAGAGCGTGCATTAAGGATATAAAAATTTCACTGAACAAACTTACCCGAATAAAAAGTTAGGAACGAAAATCGTGGAATCCTTTCCTACGGCGACCGTGTAATGAAAAAGGGTGGTGTGCCAATGTACTATCGGCACATCACCAGATACCACGCCAAATTGTTTTCGAGCGAGATGCACAAACAAATCTTTTCCGGAACGCAAATTGATGACTTTCCAATTGAAGCACAATTATTCTCTGGCCAAGCATTCCAAAAAGGGCAGCAATCTGTCTGTCTTCTCACCTCAACATCTTTTCTGTCAGTGTGCTATCGGCACACCACCGTTCAGTGGATAGCAAGCTATTGTAGTGAGTGCGCAGGCGAGCTGGTGGAAATTGACCATTCTGATGTTAGCCTGAGACTGAGGCAGGAAAAGAGGAAGTTTCAAAGTAGAAGAAAAAGGAACAGTCGATGATACGTCTCTCCAGAAGAAAAAGGAACAGTCGAGGATACGAGACGTATCCTCGACTGTTCCTTTTTCTTCTACTTTGAAACTTCCTCTTTTCCTGCCTCAGTCTCAGGCTAACATCAGAATGATAGCAAGTTAATTTCTTTTCAGGCGAGATGCACAAGCAAACCTCTTTCCAGAACGCTAATTTATGTTTTAGCTTTCCAACCGATTCGTCTTTACTCGCTAAGCTAAGCATTCTTTTCCCGAAAAAGGGCAGCGTCCTGTCTGGTCTCCTAGTTTCTACAAGTATTCCGCCAACCTTCTTGTTTACGGATGTGACGTCACGGAGCGTGAAGAAGTCACTCACGCTCTGAGAAAAACTCGGTGCACAAAGAGCGCGTTCGGGCGTCGATCTCCAGCGGCACTCCTGTCCGTTTCTTGAACTGAGCACCAAACTCGTGCGCTCCAGAGCATGAACTTAATGCGCTCACTGAGTCGCTTAGATCTTCTAAAATGGTGCTTATACATAGCTCGCAAGCGTCTTTTTGCTGGGTATCAACGGTAATTTCTACTTACTGGTTTCCTCGAACTATGACTTCTGCGGTGCGAGAGTAACACGGCAAACGGAACTCTTGCGGTGCATGAAATACTGGCATGGCCACGAGTGCGTCACATACAAGCTGTGTATACGGGACGCGGTTGAGGAAATTGGGCAGCTCGGGAATTCAGTTCGAGAACTGGTGGTGTGCAGCAAATTGCTCCCCTCCTATTGTTCCCTTGCTCTGCGGGAATGGCTGGCAAGGAGCGAGGTTGGTAACTGCTGGGTAGGCAGCCACACTTTCGGCACACTATCGAGGCACAAACTTGGCTATAGGTAGGTTTAGAGTTACTGGTATAAATTCTGCAACAAGTTTGTGTCTTCAAAAACTTTTTGGACAGTCTTTAGACAATCTTCGTCAACTGCCCGAAGTAAACAGCCACGTCGTTCCTGCTTGTCTGAGGTTGGCCCGGGGTTGGCGCGTCGCCTTTTTTAAAAACTGGAAAACCCTCTGTAGACCCATGTGCTGCTCCGAGCGTGGAAGCCCGCCCCGAGGCGTATCAATAGTTGTGGATTAAAATTGAAAGCACACACTCTGCATTTCGCGATCGCTTTTCAGGAAATCGCCCGACGTTGCTCGTTCGCCGGACAGAATGTGGTTCAATGAATGATCTGGTACGGAACTCGGCAAAATGACGCAGAAAGCTCGAGGCCGGTGATGCCTGGAGGGCTGGATTGTAACTGCTGAGCGTACTCATGCAAGGTTGAAATTTTCGCTCGTTCGTCGCGGTACGGCACGATGTGACAGGAAACGTCCCGGTCTCGCGAGGATTGCGCTCTAGGATCTGGAACAGCTTTCCGTCGCAGTTTAGAGGCTGGTAAGAACACGGTTACCAAGCTTTGGCCGCCTCCGAAAGTGGCCGTTGCCAGGGCGTTGCGAAAACGTAGAGCACACGGCGGCGTTGACCCTGTGGACGGGCGTCTGGTGCAGGACGAGGAGCGTGCCCACAGCCCGGACATCCACTTCGAGCCCGTGGTAAAGCTGCCGCTGTGCGAGGTGAAGACGCTCGAGGAGGACGAAGAGGTGCTGCTCAAGTTGTGAGTGCTCTCGCAGGGGTGGCCTCGCAGCCCGGCCTTTCTCGTACTCTCTTCCTTGCCTAGTATGTTGCGTGTCCTAGCCTAGGACACGCAACATACTAGGTGGCGCAAGCCGCCACCCGATACAAGTACCCTGCTTCAATCGTTCATCCGGTCTTGAATGGTTTTTCCCGCCGTCTCTCGTTTCGCGCTCTCGTCCTCTCGTTGTCTCGCGTCTTTTCAAAACTTTTTCAACGATAGACGCGGGTGTCTGCGGACACTCCTACACTAGCGTGCTGGATACCAGCCATGTCATCATGCTGTGAAATGAAACCAAGTTTTTGCGTCCCTGCCTGCCAGTCGCCGTGGTCACGCGACGTCGAGTGTTGCTGTCGCCGCGTCGCTGCAGATATGGTGCTTTCGAAACTGAAACGTAAGGATCGCCCTAATCTTCATCAACGTTCCTATTGTTTAATACGCTACTACAAAAATCCCTCTAGACCAAAGACTGCTGTGTTGAAGTACTGTTTACCTGGGTTTTTCTCGGCAAGCTTTCTTTCGAGGGGGACCCCGGTACGTGAAAAATCTTCCGCGAAAGGATGTCGGTGAAGGGAAGTAAGCTAAAGCAAAGAAGGCAATGTCTCTTACGCTGAACTCGCACAGCGCGCATGTTTGTCTCGAGTTCAGTCGTTGCACAAAGCGCTCCAAGAACCTTTTGACTTTGGCTTGTAATGTCTTGCATCGATGTGCTCAGGTTTTTTTTTTTTTTTTCTGTGTGTTTAGCTTATACCTTGCCAGCCGCCCTGGCAAGCACGTGCGGCTGGGCTGTTTGTTGTCGTGTGCTCGACAATTACATTTTGTGTACAAGTTTGTCAACCATTTGGCGACGGAGCGGAGTGGCATGGTTTCGATCGAACAGCTATCTCCGCTCGCGTGAAAATTTTGCGTTACACTGCTGTGGTCACGTGTATCAGCAGTCAGAGACTGCTTGTATTTATTATATAACTAGTCAACCTAATGCTGTGATATTTAATACTAAGCTGGTCATTTTAAAAAAAAGTATTAATAGATGCAGTTTGGGATTCTTATTTACCTATGGCAGGTACCTATATATGTATCATTTTACTGAAGCATTGCAATGTTTCATGTCATTGGCATTTCAGTTACATGTTGAAAGACCCTTAGGTGGCCTAATATGTTTATAATATGTTTACTGCGGCGGGCAAAGTGTCCTTCGTTTGTCCAGCACTTGAAACAAATATTTTTATTTTTCTAAGAATATCTGCTCTAAAGTCCACTTTTGCTGCTCCAAAACACTGTTTTGGCTGCTCCGAAAGGTGCTCCAAAACGGCTTGGGCCAATCACATCACTGCGCCCCCATCGATGACCAAAACCAAGGAACGCCATTGGACGAAAAGAAGAGCTGACTCAACAGCTGTTTTGGTCACCCTCGGGGCCTGGGGCCTCGGCTCCGGGGGCAACAAAAACAGTCAATAAGTCAGCTCTCCTTTTTGCCTAATAGCGTATGAGCTTTGTTTGGACATTGTGACCATGCAAGGTCATGGTGTGTCATGGTATGTTCATAGGTGGCTGCAAAGTCTATAGAAAAGATAGGAAAGAGAAAAGGATTTTGTTTTTGTTTGTTATGTTGGTTGGTGACGACCTTGGTTTCAAAGGTGTATATAAGAGGTTTACTGAATAAACTTATTAGCTGAGTTTGAGCCGTCGTTTGACCTTTTTCTTTGTCTCTTGTACTTTTGGTTGTTCCAAGGTTTTTTGCACACCCAGTCTCGGGTGTTTTAACATAGTGGTAAATAATCCAAGCAGCATGCGCCACATGTTGTATCTATAAGATCTGTAATAACCTCTTCTCAGGCATTTATATACTTGGCTTAGGTTGGGAAGAGATTCTACAATACACTCAACCCAAGCCAAGTAAATAGTTTTGAGAAAACTAATGCGAAAGAGAAACAATGCCATAGTCGAGTTGCGGTAGTTTTGCTGAGACGCTAATTCGGTTAGTGAAACTGCAAAAACGCTCCTCGAATGCCTCGGGGTAAGCTGAAAAGGGAGGCAGTTGTGCAAAACTTATTCAGAGAAACTACGGTGGTGTTTTTATATAGAATAGGGCAGATTGGGGTGGTACCTCTTTAAAGCTTATATCGTATTTACGTTAGTGACAACAGAACTGAATAGACCCTATTCATTATCAGTGCCATCTCTTGGCAGCCGCATGCACTGTCAGAGGATCGGCGCCATCTTTGAGGCTTTTCTACCGTCCCAGTCTACGCGATGCGTGGCCAGGACATCGCTGCCTGCTGCAATTGGCCAGCGGCACAGAGCTGGCCAATCGCAGCCCGCGGCGAAGTCCCGGTTCGCCGTGTAATTAGGGCCCCAGCAGTACGGACCTTACTCTCCCCGCAAAGCATTCGTCGTGCATTCTTGTTTTCGAGAATATTGATAGTGTGAGAGCCATTCAGAAATAAGCTAGGAATATTATCAAACTAAAGTCTATCTGCAGTGATTATACCAACAATTTGCTTTTACTAAAACAAAGGTTCACTTCCAACAACAAAGCAGGCGCACATTTGTTCGATAATCATATGTTAACTTGCCAGACCAGCAGACGATGCCTGTTTGCACAAGGGGATATGTGTCATGTTTAGCAGGGCTATCATTCAATGTGCAAGTTTAGTTTTTAATCGGCATTTTCAGTGGCAGAGTGGAGAATGTAAGCTGTACCCGTGTGCCTTGGACTGCATGTGCAGACCGGATATGGATACTTTTATGATGGGTTCCCCGAATGTCTAACTTTGGTTCACCATTATCTTAATATTAAGAATATTGTGGGTATTACCGTAATATCCCGGAAGGTACATAACCCCCAAAAGATAACCCACCCCCTATTTTTGGCTTGATTTGCCATTTTCTTTTAAACACCGAAAGATAGCCCACTCCTTGTAATCATAGTGTTCGGATCAATGATGACCTTGGCGTAAATGCGGCTAGTTAGCTAGGGCAAGATATTGCCGCGCGCCAAGTAGGCACCGCGGCCGTAGCACAACGGTTATCGCGCTTACCTCCCACGCGAAGGGCCAGGGTTCGATTCCTGGCTGCGGCTACGCATTTTTGTTTACACTGTAATGTGATGTCCTAGTGAATTCGAGAACCGTCTAGCTGATTCGAGGTTAGAATGTTCTCCGCGTCGAACCTTCTACATCGAACGCTCCAGAAGCCAACGCGTGTACAAAAGCGGCTCCGCCTGGCAAGCAGGATTCAGTCTCGCCCCAGCGTTCGACTCTGCTGCCACGCCGACTTCGACGCCCGCGACGCTCTATTATTATCTTTCGTACTCTTTTATTTTTGGCACAAGTTCGCCACATTAAACGTTTATTTCTTCCTGTTTATTTGTTATTTTTGGTCACTACCCGTGACATTTTGGTGGAGGTGCGGGGTACCGCATGCCCGTGCAGCGTTCCCCTCCAAGGGACCGCAGTGCAAGTCCGATTCCCGGCTCGGTGAGAAGACCACTCACCGCAGAACCTGAAATTCGGACCAGCCGCCGCACCAGGGGAGAGGATCCTGAGTACGGTTTGCTCCTGGACAAGCCCAAGCCGCAGAAGACGACGATGGCCAACCAGTCGCAAGCCCCCGCCGCTTCTCCCGTCGTCTACATGCCCGTTGCACCGCGGACGGCTGCCCCCTTCCACGGTGAACTCTACGAAGACGTCGAAGACTGGATTGACCAGTATGAACGCGTTGCCCGCCACAATGGCTGGACCGACGAGCAACGCCTGCACAACGTCTACTTCTCGCTTGAGGGAACCGCCAAGCACTGGTACGAGAACCATGAGTCCTCTTTGACGTCGTGGGACATCTTCAAGACCGACCTGAAGGCTACGTTCGTCAACCACCACCGCCGAGAGAGAGCCGAGGACCTACTGCGAACCAGGACCCAGGGCCCCAATGAAAGCGTCACGAGCTTTGTGGAAGACGTGCTCCGCCTGAGCTCCCGCGCCGATCCTCAGGCCACCGAGGGAAAGAAGCTGCGCATTTTGATGCGGGGCGTGAAGGACGACATCTTCGGAGGCCTCGTCCGCAACCCGCCGGCAACCGTCGACGCCTTCGTCAGCGAGGCGACAAACATCGAGCGCGCGCTTCCCACTACCAGCGGCAGCCAAGCGTCACTGCAACCGCGCTCCTTAGCGGTGAAAACGTGCCTGGTACGGACATCCGCGAAATTATCCGGGAAGTTGTCCGGGAGGAACTGCGAAGGTTGCTGCCAACCACCAGCCGTCCGCCAACCATTTCCATCGCCGAGGCTGTCCGAGAAGAAGTGCATCGCGCGCTCCAACCAGAGGTTCCCGTCACCAGGGTGGCACCGGAGGAACCAACGTTGAGCTACGCCGCCATGGCCCGACGACCGCCACAAGCTTCCCGCCAAGCCACGGCGCCACCCCGAAGAGACGCCCCAACGCCGCAGTACCCCCGACGGCAGGAAGATCAGGCGCACGTTCCCCCAGAGCGACCTGCGCCGAGGAAGACAGACGTCTGGAGGACGGCCGACCGACGCCCGCTGTGTTACCACTGCGGGGAAGCTGACCATGTGTACCGCCGATGCCCATACCGACGACTCGGGCTGCGCGGATTCCACCCAATCGACCCGCGCCCCCGGTATGGTGAACGCCCTCGGGAGATCGACAAGTATCTGCGACGACCCCAGTCCCCCGAGCCTGCGTCACGCCGAGAGTTCCGGTCGCCGTCACCGCGACGTCCAGCTTCGCTGATGCACCGACCCCGACGTGAAAGCCTGTCACCCCTCGCTCCTCGCCGGGGAAACTAGGCGCGGCAACCCCTGGAGGTGGAGTTGCCGAAGACGACCGACGCCAAGATCCTCCACGAACGTCAGAGGGCCCCCACTCAAACGCTACCAGAAATCGAAACGACGCCCCTGCAACGGTGTCCAATAACCTAAACGTCGTCATCGACGGCCACGACGCATCAGCGCTCGTGGACACCGG